GAAAATGACAGACCTTGGTAAACAACAAACACAACATTTATTTTTACTACTTTTGTGGGAAGATAAATACTTAGCCCACAGAAAAATATATTTCTGTTAACATAATGGTTTGTTACATTTGTGGGAAATAGCGTCTATATTTGTATTACGTGGCAGCTATTTTAATTGTGAGAAAATATCAGTTTGCGATTATGTTTCTAGTCTAACGCTACTCTCTCTACTGTCTACTTTTAAGGCTAGGCTTAAAACTTTCCTTTTTGATAAAGCTTATAGTTAGAGTGGCTCAGGTTATCCTGAGCTATCTCTATAGTTATGCTGCTATAGGCTTAGACTGCTGGAGGACATAGGGACCCCTATTTCATCATTCTGCTTCATTCTATCTCTATTCTCCCACTCTGCAGAATCTGTTAGTTCAATCTCTAACGTTCTGCTCTCTCTGCTTTTTCTCATAGTAGCTTCATCTGGTCTGTTCCTGTTTGGCTGTGACTCCATCCTGGAGAGAAATATCAGCTGTGCTGCTGCCATCAACACCTTTGTTTCTAGATGTTGGAGATCGGCCTATTTTTCAGTGTAGTCCTGTTTTTCTGACTGTGACTAACTGGATGTGCTCTCTTCATCCTCTGACATGGGAGCTGGCTCGGAGCTCGTCTGCCTGGCTGTGTGTTTCCTGGATGGGGCCACCTGTGTAGCTGGTTGGCAGTTGCCTTTTGTATCTATTCTTCTTTTTCTATGTCTGCTTCTGTCTCCTTGAACCCCAGTGGGCCTCAGCAGATGGCCGCTCACACTGAGCCTGGTTCTGCTGGAGGTTTCTTCCTGTTCAAAGGGAGTTTTTCCTCTCCACTGTCGCTACAAGCATGCTTAGCATGAGGGATTGCTGAAGAGTCAATGAGTCGATGCAATCAGCTGGTTTTCCTTAGATAGAAAACTTCCAATCGATCTGACTGGATGATCTGGTAAAGTGTCTTGAGATGATGTGTTGGGAGTTGGTGCTATAGAAATAAACTGAATTGAATTCTGAGACAGGGATATCCGCACTAAGGTGCAACATCATTATCAGACTTTAACTGGACCAATCCCTCCTGGTTTCATGCTGTTACCCTGGAAACAGCAGCTTCAGCATCTGGTGAGATTTAAAGATGGCTACTCAGAAGTCTATATGCTGCATCATGGAGCCTGAGATGTTCTGCAGAGAAAAAGCTGTAAACTAAGCTGAAGACATCAGATTCAGAAGGACTGGAGACTGAACCTGCTGCCAACGGGGGATCACAAAACTATTTAAGGTGTGAGAACTGATAACAGACAGAAATCTGACTTAAAAATAAAACTCAATAAAGTCAATAAATATTGAGTTTAGAGGAGAGAGACTGATTTAATAGCATTTGGACTGGAACAGAAATAAATGTGTGCAGGAGAACGTTTCCAGATGGGCTGTTACTAAGCAGAACAGGTTTGGCTTCAGCTCAGCTTTCTAGAAAATCTAGTTTAATCAGTTCTTTCATGAAGTTTAAACTTACAAGGGCAGCCAGGCTGGCCTGGACAGATTTCTGTCCTTTTTTTTATTTTTTATTTTTTTTATAAAAATAATTTGGGGTACCGTGATGTGTCGGATGCAGGAGTTTGTCCTGCAGCCGAAGGGTTAATGGTTCAACCTGTGCATGAATGATTGAAAGTAGTGTAAAGTGCTTTGGTAAAGTCTATATGATTTCAGGCCATTTACTATTTGAAAACACCTTTCTATCTGTCAATTTGGCTCTGGTTCAGCAAAGGAAGTGTTTCAAGCTTTTAGGTGACTCAGACAGACCCGACGAGAACTAATGTACCTAAGCATGTTCAGAAAAACTGTAGAAGGTCCTGGGTTTGGGGATTGCTGCTAGGAGCCTTGTAAGTTAAACCTTCAACCATGAGTTGTTGTTCAGCAGCTGGACAGCTGAAGGTAGCTCAGACCAAACGTTCCTCCAATGTAAAACAGAATGAGGAAGAGCAGCAAAAGAAGAGTCAAACTATTCAGAACCCAAGTCCAGTTGGTATTAGCATCAGATGTTCTCATCATGATGGTTTTATTAATGCAAGTAACAGACCTGATCCTCATCAAATGTTACTTAGTAAAGACCTTAATGTCTGAAATCAAACCAGTTCATTCTACCAGAATTAGAGAAAAGCATCAGCAATGAGAAGGAAGGAAACAACGGAGATGATGTCTACAATTAATCTGTCACTAAAACAACTTGTTTAACAATAAAACAACAGCTTTTATTTCTAAAAAGAATTAAATGTACTTGCCTGTGAGGGATGTGATATTGATAAAGCTTTGTTTTAAGTTGAAAGAGTGACAGATGTAAGAAAAATGGCAAAATCGGAGTGAAATAGTTTGGTCAGAGGTCATGTGACCCTAGCCTGTTCCGCCTTGTTCCTCTTCCTCAGAGCTCATTTCAATAAGCTGACACATCAGATCTCATTGCTGTAGGTTTGTTCTGCTAGTTTCATTAGTCCTGTGACTAACTCTACTGGGAACATAGAGGTCCTTCTCTATGTAATGGCTTTGAGCCGCTGCTCCATCCATCGTCGCCATTGTGTCCTTGGAAAGAATCAAGACACTTGAACCATTTCCCCTGCATTGGTGGTCTGAGAGCCCAGTGGGGCAGATTGTATGGCAGCCTTGCTCTGTCAGTGTGCCCCAGAGCAGCTGTGACTGCAATGTCTCTCCCCTCCATCATTGACTGAATATGGACTGAAGTGCTTCTGGCTCTGACCTGATAAAGCTCAATATCCACAGCTGAGAAACATCATCCAAAAGTACATTCAGTTCTTCAGTGGATGAATTAGCCGTCTCTCATTATCTTACTCCTGACCAAGCAGTGGTGAATTTTAACTATAATTTATAGCAATAATCATGATTCTGCCCTCTGTTGACTTTTTGGTTTTGTGTTTCTTTTTAGTTACACTTTTATTTCTGTCATTCTGTGTTTTCTTGGTCATTGGTTTCTGTTCTTTGTGACCCCAACTGGGCTTAAGAAGATGGATGGATGGATGGTTGGACCTCGCCTCTCACCTGTAGACAGCTGGAGATAGACACCAGCACCCCTCGCTACCCCAGCAGGGAGAATGGTGACGGAAATGGATGGATGGATTCAATTTTGTGTCATTCCAGTAGTTTTCTGGTTATGTTCCAGAGGTGTATTTTTTGGAGTTGCACTCTGTTGACCCTCGTCTGCCTGGCTGTGTGTTTCCTGGACGGGGCCGCCTGTGGAGCTGGTTGACAGTTGCCTTTTTTATCTATGCTTCTTTTTCTATGTCTGCTTCTGTCTCCTTGAACCCCAGTCAGCCTCAGCAGATGGCCGCTCACACTGAGCCTGGTTCTGCTGGAGGTTTCTTCCTGTTCAAAGGGAGTTTTTCCTCTCCACTGTTGCTACAAGCATGCTTAGTGTGAGGGATTGCTGAAGAGTCATTGAGTCAATGCAATCAGCTGGTTTTCCTTAGAAGACTGAATGATCTGGTGTTTTCTCTATAAAGTGCCTTGATTGTTGTGAATTGGCATTAGAGAAATAAACTGAATGGATGAGTGTAGCAGAAAACCTGCTGAGAGGAGCAGGAGTCTCATTAGTTACAGGAAATTCTTTGATTGCAGCAATTGCCTCTAAAGGTTGTGCAACAAAATATTACTAATTTTAGTTCAGGCTGGTTTATGAGTTTGTTGAATCATTCTATTAAAACATTTATTTATTACTTTTGTCGGATTCAAATTATTTCTCTGACAATGGTGGGTTTTTTTTCATAAAACTAAGATGAACGACAAATGTGTCCGTGTGTGTAAATACCTGAACTGCTCTTAATACACAATTGATTGAAACACAAATGTCAAATCACTTTTTTTTTGACTAGACAAAAGAGTCACTCCCTTTTGTCTAATTTCGAAGCATTATTTTTTAATCATTAATGATTTTCTCCACTAGCTCTTAATCTTAATGCACTTTCCAATACTCAGGATCATTGTTTCCATCTGGTGCTTTCTTGGTGGTTTTCAGGTTTATATTCCTCTTCTCAGATTTTTTTAGATTTTTCAGGTTTGACATTATCTCAAAACTACCTTTCATGGTATAAGACCGATGGCGTAAATATCTATAGAATATGCAGTTGCTTAGGGGCCCCCGACCTCTTAGGGGCCCCATCACTGCGCAAATGTAGACTAGGACATCTGTTTGCTAATGTTATGGTGTATGTATCTTAAACCCACCTGACGCTGAAGTGACTGACCGGACCGTATTTATAACCCAACGCATGGCAGATTTCAACATGATGGTGAGCCGTTTAAATACGACACCAATAGCAAAGCAGACAGAGATACTTTTAATTACTGTCTTAATAACTGTCTATAGTTCATTAGACGGTAAGAATACACTTACATATGTTTCAAGCCACAATAATAATCTTAAAAGAACAATGTTTTTGAGTATTTTATTTTTTTACACTATGGCTTGGAATTATGGGTAATCCAGAGCGTAGATTAAAACCATAACTGTTACGTACAATGTGTTAGCGACAATGGATACCGAAAAAAAAGCTACTTAAGCTTCAAAGAACCAAAGAGGGAGAGATGGAGGTTGCTGCTACAGCAAGTACAGATTGTGACCAGGAGATGAATGGAGAGAGCGTGGGTGAGGAGGGGGGCTATGAAGCTGAGGGTCGCCCCATGGCTTGTTGTGCTAATATAATAAAGTATATCCATGTGAAGTTGAATAATGATGAAGTGTGTATGTATGGGGCACGTTTCAGGTCCGTTGTCTACTGCGGCATTACGCCATTGTATAAGACTGCTTGCATAATGCACCTTGGGATTTCCTGGCTGATTTAACTCCACCCCTTTAAAAATCCAGGGTCTATCTGGAAAGTGTGGACCCAGAAGAGTGAAAATATTTCAGGAAAAAAGTGTCTATACAGTCCCTGGAATGGAAAAGGGCGGGTTGCCATAAAAGGTAACACCACAGCAGAATAGAAGTCATGTGTCTTTGACAGGCAATAGTGAAATGTGATGATGTTGCAGTGATCCTTCAGAAAACAGGGAAGTGAGATCAGTCTGTCTCTAAATCACTGAACGTCACACAGAGAAGGTGAGGAAACTTCTGTCTCTAAGAATCTTATATCTATAGTTAACCACCGACTTTATGTAGAAGCAGAGCTAATAAAGATACTAACAGTAATTTCCAGATGCTAATCCTGTGAGGGTCATCATGTTTTATTGCTCATTCATGATTGCAGTCTCTAATTGCTGACAGAAATCCCAGAACCTGTGGTGAGGCAGAGGTTCAATCACTGGACCGCCTTAACTTTTGTTACGGAAGGCAAAGATTTTTAGTTTGTATTTATGAAGTTGTGCTAGTTGTCCAAAACCGAACTGACTGAATGAATTAAGGTCCCACTGTCCTTTTTTTTTTAAAGGACTACTTTATTTTTAAAGGAGAGACTTCTGAAGAATATGATTCATTTTTTTTCATCATACCGAAAATGAAAAGTAAACAGTTGTTAAACCAACGCCGTATATCATTCTCACATCATTATATATATATATATATATATATATATATATATATATATATATATATATATATATATATACACATATACACCTTATATAATTACCATGTCAAAATCCTTTGCCATCTTTACCAGACAGGCTGCAGCCATGTCCCGAATTCCTCGTTTTTTAGCCACTTTTGTTGAAATTAGCATTTTCCCATTCTCTAGCTTTTTCTCCGCCTTGAGCTTCTTTTGCGAACATACGTCTTTACGATCGACCAGAAGCAGTTACGCACAAACACGCGGAGCCAGATATATTGGATATACTTTGTCCAACGAAGATGCTTTCATAAACTTTTATTTTTCTATTTTAAATAAAGCATTTTAAATGCCACTATTATCAGATTTAATGAATTTTAATGCTAAATTAAAAAAAAAAAATAATTACTGAATGACTTAATTATTTTTAATGACCCATGGAAACCTTGTACTTGTAGAAAATGAATGGTTGTTATTGATACGAATTAAAAAGTAGGGTAGCGTAATATGGCTAACTGACCGAGCTAAAAGAGGCTAACCTGTTAGCTACTGAGCACAGCTAGTCAGTGCTACCCAGCTCTTTATATCATGGTCTAACAGTTACTTTGCTCACCAGAAACAGATTTTTTCTGTTTTGTTATCGATCAGGTAAGACTTCATCAGTCATTAGACACGCTAACGCTATAGATACTCCCGGCGCATTGATGCTTCCTCATTATTGTCTGGGCAACCACAATGTTTTACATCATGTGGAAACATTCAACTAATCATGTTGTGTGACGTCACTGGCATGAAGCAGGAACCAGCAGATCTGTTTCCTACAGCGTCTCTCCTCAGCAGCCTCTTACTTCATTAAACCAACAAGCGTCTTCCTGCCAGCCTCCCTGATGCCAAGCAGATCCCTCCGCTGAGCTGCCCTCTTCAAGCTGCTGGTTGACAAATTCAGCTTAACAGCAATTCATGCAGACATTTTTCGTATGATTTCACTTATTTATTGAATGTGGCTCAGAAGCATATCATTGAAATATTAGCTTCACTGCCATGTTGTGGCTCTTTGTAGAGTCTAGCCTGATTTAAACTTCATGGTGACTCGGTGGTTTTCTGATCCCTCGTTTAAAAGGAAGCACCTGCATACATTAAGAAAACACGGACCACTGTAGCTGATCCTTGACTTGCTTCCTCTGCTGGTTAGCTGTGTCTAGATGATAGAGATCTATTCATGTGTAGCTTCTCATTGGTGGAAGGAGCAGCAGCGCTCCGTCCATCTTCCACAAAGCCTTTAAGGTCTAGCTCTTCCAACCCGTCTCCTGAACTAGCTCTGATTGTTAGCTTACATGTTCCATGCATTATATCCTTCTCTCTACGTTACTTTGGAGAAACTGATCAGATTTGATCGGGAACCAAACAGAACAGTCTTACTCTAGATAGGGAGTAGTGCAGCTCCTCTAATCCTTGGGTTGTGATTAAAAACTCCTGGTCATCAGACATTTGGTTTCTGTTCTGCATTCTGTGGATTGATCTGAAAGTCTGTCTAATGCAAATCTCCCGTCTCTTTGTGAAGGTGGTCATAATGGGGGAGTGGTCCTTCCTCTCAGACATGCTGGACAAGGTACAGTCCCACTCCACGGTGTTCGGAAAGGTGTGGATGAGTGTACTGTTCCTCTTCCGGATCTTCATCCTGGCTGCTGGAGTGGACAGAATCTGGGGAGATGAACAAGCAAACATGGACTGCAACACCAGAAGCACCGGATGCAGGAACTCCTGCTACAACCGATCCTTTCCTCTTTCCCACACCCGCTTCTGGGTGCTGCAGATCCTCACCGTCTCCACCCCGACCCTGGTGTACCTGGGCCACGTCCTGCTGGTCATTCGAAAAGAAAACAAAGCCAGGAGACGTCCAAAGCATAGAAACACGATGAAGAGAAGTGCTTTAGATGGACGAGGCAAAGTCCAACTGAGGGGAGTCTTATTGGCCAGCTACATCATGCAGCTGGTGTTCAAGATGCTGCTTGAAGTGTCATTCATTGTGGGCCAGTACTTCCTCTACGGCTTCCTGTTCATCCCTGCAAAGATCTTATGTGAGGACTACCCCTGCCCAACCCCTGTACAATGCTTCATCAGCCGACACACAGAGAAAACTGTTTTTGTAGTCTTCATGCTGGCATTGGCCGTTTTCTCTGTCCTTCTAAACATCGTGGAGTTGTTGTACCTGATGGTGTCCAAGCTGAAGGACAGGGGGGGGCAGCAGCAGGGCTTCTCTTCCACCCACTCATTAAATATACTCTGAAAACTCAAAGCATCTTCCATGCTGCTCCATGAGATGTGGAGGACTCAGACTGGGTCAGAACCAGGGCATCTGCCCTCCCTTTGCTCTGGGTGTGAACTGGGAGCTCAGGGACATGAATCTGATCACTGGGAAAACATGGATTAATCTCACCAATAAACATCATGGATATTAACCTTTATGAGTTCCTCTCTGGTTATTTGGACTTAAGTCCGGAAATGGTCTGTATTGTGGGAATAATCCTCCCATTAATTGCAGCAGACCAGCAGTGACGTCTAGAACAGGAATAGGTGCAGTCTCTCTCTCTGGTTCTACATGGTTCCCTTAAGACCGTATTTGTCTGTTGGCCTTAAAGGCTTCAAGAGAAACAAACTAGTTTTTTATGGTCACCTTCATAAATATGGTGACCAAATGTCCAGATGCCCCTTCAGGTCAGAGGTTGGACCTCTATTATGGATGGATCATGTTTGGATCAGTCAGTCACAGGCTTTGCTAGCTGATCAGAGGTCTGTCTGTCCTGGCACGGAGCCGATGGGACAGACTCTATGCCATAAGCAAATAGAAAGATGAACCGTTTGTTGATCTTGGCGAGTCTTTAGAAGCAGAAGTTCCTTCTGTGGTGGGCGATCCATGGTCTTAGGCTCTGGGGGTCTTTGAAACCTCCTGATCCCAGTCGGTGTCCAGCACATCATTGGGGAAGTCGGCTGGAGTGAATAAGGAGAACCCTGAGCCAGCCTGCTTGGATCCAGGACTCAGATGGAAGCACATCCTCTTCCTCAGACCCCCCCCACCATGGTCTGCTGGTCTCCGGTGTTGCTGGGCATCAGCGGTAGGTTGGTGGGGCTGCTGCAGTTTGCCGTTTGCTGTTTCCTGAGGAGGTTGTTGTGACTGGAGGTTCTGGCCTGGTTCCTGCCCGTCCCTCCTCCTCTTAGCCGGTGGAAGCTGGCTGCCTCGCTCATCATGGCCGCCTGTCTTCTCCACCCTACTGATGCTGTGCTCTGATGGCTTCTTCTCCCTGGGTTTGAAACAGAAGGCTGACAGCTTAGCCCGTAGGTCTGATGGTGTTCCAGCCTCAGTATCCTTCTGTTGCCTCATCCCTGGAGTCTCCTTCTCCACCTCCTCCTCTGTCCTAGGCATCTGTCCCTGTTCATTTTGCTCCAGGACTCCTGCAGATGGTTTTGAACAGCCCCTCTTAGCTGCATCATCCGCGGTTTGTTGAGTTGATGTAAACATGGGCGGTGTTACATCATGTGGGGACGGTGAGGGGCTGCTGGCCTGCAGATGGTCCAGACCATCCACTGGTTCCTCACAGCATTGGAGGGCATGTTGGTTTGAAGTGAGTGATGGATCACAGTTCGCCGTCTCTGGGTTGTTGCTTCTTAGCCTAGCAAAGAAGAACAGCATGCACTGTTATCCATGTGACAGCCTATCGGCAATCAGCTGTTCTACTGACGCCATTTTAAGAGCAATCCTAGAACTTCCAAAGCCTTGTTTTGGCTTAGAAAACAAACTGAACCGGAAGAACAGGTCCGCTCCTTAGGACTGGCAGCCCTTTGGGTTTTTCTGTTAGCCTGCAATGTCTGATACTGGTCTATGCCTCTGAAAGGACAGTTGTTAGGGGCATTGCTGGCCTGGCTGACCGTGCCCTAAAGCATGTTTTCTAAGGGCTGTGAATCTTTGGGATTCCCACATTCTTGGGGTCAAAATTTCTTTTAAATCCAAACAATTCGATTCAGAACTGATCAATTTACGATTCAAAACGATTCTCAGCATCTATTCCAGTTCTCTGGCATGAAAGAAGAGTACATTTATAAAGACTTTATAATTGTAAATATTTTATTTACCTATTGCAATAATGTAAACACCGAAAGGTAAATCCAAGACAACATGTCTTGCATGAGTCATGTCAAGCCCTTTCTTACGCTTTCTCACGCTGCTCATTGGTTTCGCCAAACACTACGGTGCTCCGCACCCACAAAAAAAAAATCATTTTTAAAGAAAATGAGAATCAATTCTGAATCTTAAAATGTTAGAAACGTGATTTGAGCTCAAATCGATTTTTTTCTTCACCCCTAATATATATATATATATATATATATATATATATATATATATATATATATATATATATATATATATATATATATATATATATATATATATATATCTGTGAAGCGCCTCAGATATAAAAATGCTGGAGATGCCCTGAAGGACCTCTTGATACACGTCAACCATAGACTTTAAAATAAAGGGGCTGCTTCTGCTGCTCAGATCGTGCTTGGTGTGAACATAGCAGAGGTAGGAAAAGCAGTGCCGCCATCAAGGAGGGGCTAACAGTGGAGCAGCTTTTCCTCCACTTCCGGAGGACTGGAGTAGAGTCGAGCGAAGTGCTCTGTTAGGAACATAAGGAACAATCAGATCTCTGATATCAGATGGAGCTTGGCCATTTAAGGCTTTATATGTGAGAAGGAGGATTTTAAATTCTATTCTGGATTTAACAGGAAGCCAATGAAGAGAAGCCAGGATAGGAGAGATATGATCTCTCTTTTTCATTTTCATCAGAACTCTGGCTGCAGCATTTTGGATCAGCTGAAGGCTTTTAACTACAGTTTGTGGACTTCCTGATAGTAAAGAATTACAATAGTCCAGCCTTGAAGTAACAAATGCATGGACTAGTTTCTCAGCATCACCCCTGGACAGGAGATTTCTAATTTTTGCAATATTCCTCAGATGAAAGAAGGAAATTCTAGAAACCTCTTTGATCTGGGATTTAAATGACAGGTCCTGATCAAAAATAACACCAAGATTTTTTACTTTATTATCTGAAATCAGTTTAATCCCATCCAAATGAAGTGACTGGCTAATCAGCTTCTTTTTCAGAGACTCTGGTCCAAAGACTATAACTTCTGTTTTGTCTGCATTCAGAAGCAGAAAATTAAGAGTCATCCAGGTTTTTATGTCTTCAAGACATGCCTGTAATCTATGTAATGGGTTAGCTTCATCTGGATTATAGACAGATATAGCTGGGTATCATCAGCATAACAGTGGAAATTAATCCCATGCTGTCTAATAATTCTACCGATTGGGAGCATGTATAAAGTAAAGAGAATTGGTCCTAGCACTGATCCCTGTGGTACTCCACAGGTAACCTTTGAGCGTGTTGAAGATCTGTCATTAACATGAACAAACTGAATTCGATCAGATAGATAAGATTTAAACCAGTCTAGAGCTTGTTAGGATAGTTATCATAGATGATGTGAATATCAGCTGCCTGTTGCGTGTTAGAACTGATGTTTTCCACAATAGTTTATCTGATTAAGACAGTTCTTCTGTCCGGCTATACACAGTTATAATCTTCATTCTGTATGTGGCAAATACAGGAATGGAATGAGAGCGGTGTCCTTCAGCTAAGAACGAATTGTAATATTGTGATAAGGCTGCAGCCATGGATGCATCTGCAAAAATGTATGATGCAAAATGTGATGATGCGACAGACTGGAGATGAATAAAAAGCTTCTCTAACTGTGATTCACGTCCACTTCCTGAGAAGTGAGCCCAGTTAGTAAGCAGCTGCCTTCTGTAACTAAGCAACTTTTCTGATCTGAGTAAGATTATAATTTCTATCAGAATCTGTTGTCATGCCTCCTGGTTATTTAATCCATAAACATTATGAATTGTTATTTAAAGAGTTTGTCCTGAGTGATCTCTTTTTAGGAAAAAGAACCGTAGAGAGAAACCCTCAAGCTGGAAACACAGAGCATATCTAAAACATGCTGTTCCTTTAATTCCAACAAAATATTTAAGTCTTTTTAAAAGAACATTATGATCAACTGTATTAAATGCAGCACTGAGATCCAACAGGACGAGCGCAGATACACGTCCATTATCTGAGGCCATGAGAATATCATTAGTGACTTTCACCAGAGCTGTTTCACTGATATGATGAGGACTATTTTTATTCTCCTCCATTACAGATTAAGTATTTGCTGATCTAGCTGAAGGAATTCTTTAATTCTAGTCCATGTATTTCTTTCAGCATCAATTTGTAACAGTTGTCCAGAAGCATCTTTACCTGCAGCAAACTTTAAGCTCAGACATGAGTTCATGAACCACAAGAGTGAGTTTTCACCTGAGCAGGTGCTCCATCTCCTTCAGAAGCAGCAGCGGCAGGTTCAGTCCTTTCAGCAGCATCTCACACTGGGTCTGATACTGCTGGACAGGGTCGCTGGGAAACGTTGTTAGCAATGCGTTGACGTTTCCCAGGAGAGCTCCGCCCTGCAGGAATGATGCAGCAGAGTGTTAATGACGCCATAGGGTCAGGCTTTCTGCCTGAGCCCTGAGGAAATGCTCATGGCATCTGAGCAGCTCCTCTGGAGCCAAAATGGGCCAAACTTTCGGGCCTGATGAGCATAAGAGGAGAGGAAGAGCATTATGGAGTAGATAAGTCATTGCCGTGGTCATCATGTACTAACCTGCATGGAGCACTCCATGACCGACACGGCAGTGAGAGCATCTTGGATGGTGACCGTCTCTCTGTACATCAGCCGGGCGTGTGCTGCAGAGAAAAAACAGCAGCTCTGTCACTTCACCGCATCTGTGATGTCAGAGGTCAACCTGAATGCATCAGAGCCTGCATGTCCCATTAAAACCAGTGGGACAGAAGAAGAGTAGTCCAGTTTCTATCCTGTCACTGTAAGCAGACAAGGTCCTCCTGAGGTCACATCCTGCCGCTCTCACCTTCAGCAAGTCGGCTCAGACTCTCCAACATGCGGATGGTTGTGCGGGCGGCGTTGTGTCCGTCCCGCTGGCGCTGTAGCTGGTAATACCGGGACAGGATGCAGTTGGCCTCCTCAGACACGCGAGGCTGCAGCTGCTTGATCAGACTGAAGTAGGCTTTCATTTTCTCCAGGGACCAGAGACCGCTGGGATCAGCAGGAGCTTCTGGACAGATCCAAGAGGAGACCCACTGTTTCTGTTATGCTGCCCATCAATACAGACCGCCACCTAAAACACCCACCCTACCTTGGTCCTCCAGAATAAAAGAGGAGATGATTCGGTCCCATTCCGGGTTCCTGGTGTCCAGCAGGACCAGAACCAGGTCAAAACGACTGAGCAAAGGACTGGCCAACGCCACGTTCACAGACAGGGGCTCACTGGAGTCATACTGGCCTTTAGGATTTGTAGCTGCCAGGATGGTGGTCCGAGTGTTCAGCTTACAGACCATTCTGTAGACGACAGGCAGAAAACATCAGCACCTGATGCTGAGCAAGACGAGTCTAATAGCAGCTTCATCTTTTCCTGTTTGGCTGTGACTCCATCCGGAGAGAAATATCAGCTGTGCTGCTGCCATCAACACCTTTGTTCATAGATGTTGGAGATCGGCCTGTTTTCCAGTGTAGTCCTGTTTCTCTGACTGTGACTAACTGGATGTGCTCTCTTCATCCTCTGACATGGGAGCTGGCTCGGAGCTCGTCTGCCTGGCTGTGTGTTTCCTGGACGGGGCCGCCTGTGGAGCTGGTTGACAGTTGCCTTTTGTATCTATGCTTCTTTTTCTATGTCTGCTTCTGTCTCCTTGAACCGCAGTCAGCCTCAGCAGATGGCCGCTCACACTGAGCCTGGTTCTGCTGGAGGTTTCTTCCTGTTCAAAGGGAGTTTTTCCTCTCCACTGTCGCTACAAGCATGCTTAGTGTGAGGGATTGCTGAAGAGTCAATGGTTTGGTAACATTAGTGAGTCACAGGAGGTGTCACAAACATTTGGAGAATAACTGGAGTCAACACGATGTCACATCTATGGGAAATGTGTGTGAATGGGGGGACATGTGACCTTATGGGGACCAGTTCTGGTCTTGGATTGGGTTCATTGGGTTAGGGTGAGGGTCTGGGTTACTGTATGATGAGAAGGAATCCAACCAACCAGTCTATCAATCACCATCAATAGTTTCTTCATCAGTATGAGGAAGAGGAGTAACATTTCCTCTGTAATGACTCATGCTGCGTTCCCACTAAGGGCGTTATGACCGTCAAAATTACTCAAAAGTAGAAAGCTGGATCAGACTGTGGTCAGGTTGCTTTGATGCTTCGGTGTTTAGTTTCAAGCTAAAGAGCAGCTTGGTTTTATTTACTTTATGAGGTGTAAATATAGTTTTAACACACTTTTTAAGTGAGAAAGTCCACCTCCAAACATCCTCTGTTCATCAGGATTATTATCCCACTAAAATATGCAGTTCTTCCTGGAAGTGCCAGATCTTCAACATACCCGCAGGAGGCAGTGTCACTACCTGATCAGTCCTGGAAGCACGATCAATAATGCCAACAGATATACGTCTGGGTGTCCATAAATCATGTAATTATGGTGCTAAAATTACTTATTTCTATCTTTAACTCACTAAAGAATGCTAATACACATCTTTAAAAAACGTTCTATGACTTTTCTGGGACAATTTCGATGATACATTAAATTTTCTCCTTCCAACTGCATGGAACATGCTCAGAGCTGTCCGGCAGAATATGGATAAACCAGGTTTATCTGCATTTTACTTGTTTCTTTCTTTAGATAACGCACTATATACCATAATATGTTAACATGAAAGAAAAACTAAAACTCAAAGACTAGATTTATGTTTAAATCCAAAGCTGAAAAGTTAACTCCAGGAAGTAGCATTGGATCCCATTTCCGGTGGATAGAGATAAAACAGAAAGGATTATTTTCTCAGGAAATACATTATTAACCTTTAACACATTATTGTTTAGTACACTTACTATTTGTGGGGAGGGAAAAACATAATTTAGGTCTTTTTTAACAAAATAAATCGAGGGCTACGGGGAAGTATATCTGGATGCGCCAATGACCTGATGGCACATGTGCAGGAAGGATTGTGCTTCCGGGAGGATCAGGTTATACAGTCATGGCCAAAAGTTTGGAGAATTATTCAAATGTTAATATTTACAAAGTCTACTGCTTCAGTTTTTATAACGCCAATCTGCATATACTCCAGAATGTTCTATAGAGTGGTCAGCATAACAGCAATTAATTGCAAAGTCAATATTTGCCTAGAAAATGAACTTTATCCCCCAAAACACATTTCAGCGTCATTGCAGCCCTGCCTTAAAGGAGCAGCTAGCATGGTTTCAGTGATTGCTCCATTAACACAGGTGTGGGTGGTGATGAGGACAGGGCTGGAGATCAATCTGTCAGGATTCAGTCAGAATGACGTCACTGGGCACTTTAGAAAGAGGCTGGTGCTTGGCATCATTGTTTCTCTGCTCTGTGTTCCTTCTACATAACAATCCATTCCTCCTGCTTTTTATTTTAACCCTTGAGGTTTAAGTCCTTGAAAATTATTTTTTTTATATGCAGAATGTCTGCAGAATCAATGTCAGCTTGCAGGTAGAGTCCATAAAACTCCTGGATCAGCTTTTCTGATTGGTTGATGCTCCGGTGTTCTGTCAGATGAGCATACCCATCATACCCATCATACCTATAGTCAATATGCAGGCACAAGACCTCAGATTTGCATTTATCCCTTTAGTTTTGTACGAAAAATAAACTTGAAACTATTTCAATGGGCGTGTTTGCCTTTAGTCACGTAGAAGAAAAACTATTTAAGGTCAGATCACCATACGCTTCAAAAACACCAAAAAGTAATTAAATTGTTCTTGTTTGTGCATGACTAAAGGGATAAATGGGTATTGACTATGGGTATGCTGGCAGGGATGGGAATCGATAAACCGGTTCCTGTTCAGAACCGGTTCTGTGTGTTCCAGTTCCATGGCACCGTTTGGCAGCTCACTCAATAACATCCGCTGGAGGAAATACATCCAACATGCAGAAACGCTTGTGCACACAACGTGGCATACATTTTAACACTAGGACCCCAGAATTCTGATCCTACTAGAACTTCTTCTGGTCATCAAATTGATGGGTGACATTTTCCCCAATGGAACGCAGGAGTAATGATGATGTCATCAACAGGAATTGTTCTAGTGTGCGATATAAACCCATTGTGGAAATGTAAACCTTAAACAAAATCTAATATATTTTCAAAGGCCGTATTGTATACTGCTATTATTTGTGTTCTAAATTTATTTAAAATATAAATCCGTAGAGTAAGACTTACTACACAGGTTCAAAGTTTGAAATTACCGTTTTATTTAAAAGGTATTGTTTGATTCCCTCCAAACATTTTCCTCAGACCACCTTTTCACATTTATGACAAACGTAATAGGAGTGTTTTTTGTGCAGCGCTGAAGCTCCTGCCGCTGTTTTCTGTCCCTCTCCAACGTTGCTCTACTGCAGTGGATGAGCTGGAAACCTGCGCTTTGCCCGCAACTGTTTTACCAGTTCAAGGATAAAATCTCTTGAACAAAACCAATGCGCTTAAAGCTGATATTTGCAGGAGATCATAAATTACAGCCACAGGCCACCTTCATGTTGAAGGTTTTACAGAATCCTTTCCAATCATCTGATCCGACACATCCACCCTGACCTGTGTGGTTATAGCAGCCTACGGGCTCTGGTTTGGCCTTTGGGCTGCTGAGTGGGCCGGCTGAGGTGTGGGCGGTGCTTAAACAAAAGTTTTACTATTGTCTGATGGGTCGCTGATACGTCTGCATTAATCATCCTCGGACTCGCTGTCAGGATCTGAGCCGCTTCCTGTCCAGACCCCCTAATCAGTCTCTCCCCCTCCGCCTGAATCACTATCATCAATATTTGAAGGATTTCTAAAACCTGTTTCATGGTTAGATTTCTTCTGAAGGCAGTTTTCCCGTGTTAGCCAAAGAGTTCTAGGTTGAATGTTGGTTGCTAGGCAACGGTACCAAATGTCAATCAAGCGCGGGAAGAAATTACAATGTAACTAATAGAGCCGTCAAAATGACGGCTGTGGGAGATCAAGGTAAAAATAACCATATTTATTTTTTACGTTTTTATTTTATTAAAAAACAATGTGAAAATGAAGAAAATACAGAAATAGAAAAAGTAAATGAACATGAACAACATAAGATTAATTTTAAATATATTTTAAATTTATAATATAAATGACGGCCTTGAGAGTTCTAGTGTTAAGGAATGCCGTATTTTTGATGCTTCCAGACAGAAGCTAAAGTTACGACCAGCATGGAAGGAACTCTGGTGGTTAGTAGCTAGTTTTCTATCACTGGCTGTGCTTCATGTGGTTCCTAGTAAATCAGATGCCATTTCTGGGAATAAACCAGTTTCCTTCCTCTCTTTGGGGATATTAAACAAGCTACCAAGTTGCTCCGCAGTTCAGGGAGCGAGGGAAAGGTGACGCTCATTTATTTAAATCAGGGGAGATGAGTTTATTTCCCAAAATTGTACAGTAATGCTTTTTCATTAAACAGATGCCTTTTCCATTAGATTTAGATGACTGTTAGGAGACGGCTAGCCTGGCTCGACGGGTCCCCTCCTCTCAGAACCCCTCCCCGCAGTCCCTCAGACGCTGCATGTGAACCAGATGCTTTAACAGCCAGTCTGAAGGCAGCATAATGCTGAGTATTAAGCCTGGGGCCCTGAACACTCCACACCTTGGCGACTGTTTTCCAAGCTGACAGACTGGTTTGATCATTATTGATGAGGAAACGGTGGATCTACCCGGCTTTGGCCACGCTGATGGACTGCTGCTCCATGGCTTCATGAATGCTGATGCGGTCCTGCTCCTTGATGCTGTTGAACTCATCGATGCAGCACAAACCTCCGTCAGACAGGACCAAGGCTCCAGCTTCCAGGTGCCAGTCGCCTCCATCCTTCACTGCAGCCACCGTCAGGCCTTCAACCATGGAGACAGACACAATGAGCAACTAGCTCAGACAAGGACAGAGAAGAAACTTCCTCTATCAGCTTTCCTTCCATGCAGACGTGTCACGGCTCTAACCGTTTCAATATCATCCTAGGTTTTGAAGATATATATACATGTTTAAGCTAAAAGAAGTAAAGAGCTAAGCTAAAGCTGCAGCAAAACGTATGGTTCATATTGAAGAATTGTATAATCTAAGGATGGGCAGCAGATGTACTATTCCCAGGTGTTAGGCCAAAGCTGGCAGAGGGGAGGATGAAATCTGCAGATGGAAAGGCTGAGAATGACCTTGCTCTGATTAACAGGGGAGCAGAAAGGCAGGAAGCAACTCCATACAAGGAGATAGGAAGTAGGGAGTATGATCACTCTGTGGGACTGTCTGTGTGAAAATGTAAGATGTTTCCCTATGAAGATAATAAAAAGAGCCGGTGTTGCAGGGGGGGTCAGAGTTGCTGTTAGCAGAAGCTGCTGCTGATGCTCCTCTTCCTTTGCAAAGGCGAATCAAAGCTTCTTTGTCCAGAATGTTTTTATAACTCTCCATCTCAGTTAAGTTACCTACACTGGAATTAACAGACCCGGGGGGAAACCACTGACGGTGTATTTAAACAGTTTCCTGCTGGATGTGCAGCACTGCCTGCTGGGGTCACTGTGAAGATCAAGCACACAGGATTGAGCTCCACAGTGGGGCTCCTCTGAGCTGCACCTTTGGTTGTCTTATCTGGATGCTTCACGCTCCCTCTGCTCTCAACAGCAGCATCAGGTTCAGGGGATGAGCTGCTGTCTAACTTGGATTTCAATTCAAGTTTAAACCAATTCAGACAGAAAATATTAATCTTTATCAATAGATCGTTATTATATTTTTTCTCTAATACAGTTTTGTTTATATGGCCCCCATTTTCTCTTTATTTTTTATTTTATTTTTCTTTGTGTCCTGTTTTAGGAACTGATGTAGCTGATAGCCCAACAGCTTAGCTTTCACAAGCTAATACTTGTATATGAAACTTTATTGAACATTATTTGGGGAGTAAAATTGGATACAAAAGACACAAAAAGGGAGGTGAGAAATAAAGAGATAGAGACAGGAAAGAGTGCATAAAAAGATAGAAAATAAAACAAAACAGCAAAAATAGGCACAAAAGATAAACAGTAACTCTTAGAAGTCTGCTTTCACACCTGGAGGAGAAGAGAGGAACAGAAAAAAGAACATTACAGCAAAAAGAAGACAACAGGAAACCCAAGTAAACTTAAAAGAAAAAGCTTCAAGAGACGTCCATGTGTGTCGGAGTCAGAACCTTGGACATCTTGATCAAGCCTGACTAATAAATCAGTTTCCCATTTTCCAATGGCCTATAGCAGCATATAGTTGTGCTGCTATAGGATTAGACTGCTGGAGGACATAGGGACCCCTATTTCATCATTTTATCTCTATTCTCCCACTCTGCAGAATCTGTTAGTTCAATCTCTAACGTTCTGCTCTCTCTACTTTTTCTCATTGTAGCTTCATCTGGTCTGTTCCTGTTTGGCTGTGACTCCATCCTGGAAAGAAATATCAGCTGTGCTGCTGCCATCAACACCTTTGTTTCTAGATGTTGGAGATCGGCCTGTTTTCCAGTGTAGTCCTGTTTCTCTGACTGTGACTAACTGGATGTGCTCTCTTCATTCTCTGACATGGGAGCTCGTATTCCTGGCTGTGTGTTTGAATATTTCTAATACATGCTGGTGGGGAGCTGTATAATATTTCACCCAATTTATGAAACCGTTACCGAAGCCAAATTTACTTAGAAATGCAAACAAATACTTCCAATTAACTCTGAAACACTTTTTTTTTTGCATCTAGTGATATGTTGGTTTTGACGTTTTCACTCTAGGAAGGTCTATTAGATTTATTAATCTGAGTACATCAGTAAGATGAATGCCTTTTCTTTATTAAGCCAGTTTGAGCTGAGTGGATTAAACAAAAGTTACTTTTTCTAAACGTTTGCTGGAAGATTTTATTTGAAAGTCGAGCTTAATCAGATATTTGGGTCGATAGCTGGTAGGATGGACAGGATGTTTGTCTGGTTTTAGCAGGAGACTAATATTTGCAGAATTCATCTTTAGTGGAAGCCTGCCTTTCTCCTCCGTTTCCTGCAGCATTCTGAGGAATGTTGGTTCCAGGGTATTCCAGAAATCTTTATGGAATTCGACAGCAAATCAATCAGGGCCTGGAGCCTGTAAGTGGGCATGTCTATGAGAGTCTCCTGGCCCCCATTATAAAGTCACATCTGGAGGCCCAGGGTCCTCCTGTTACACCCGTCTGTAGTGTTACTGTTTAACGGTGCCGGCTGTTGGGCTGTTAACATCCCGGCCCAGACAGCTGACGTACGTAGGGGGGGAGCAGATGACAGGATGTGATCAAGTACATCCACCCAATGACACACAGCTGTGACTGACAGACAAATGGCTGGCCTCCCCTGTGTGAGCTCATTGGTTACCATAGTAACAGGGTGACGGAACACCTTTGGTTATCACCCAGGAGCTGATTCTTTACGACATCATTTGATCTGTAATGGTAGCTTTTTAGTTCTAGTCTTCAGTTCTAAGCTGTTGGGATAGCGTGTTCATTCTGCTCATCTTCACAGGAGCTGCTGTTCTTCCTTACTCAGTCTGGACCGACCCATGTCCCTCTAGTTATCTATGACACCACAGGAACCTAACCGTGACTGACCTGGTCAGAAAGGTTAGGAGCAATGAATAAGAAAGGAGGACAGAAAGGCCTACCAGCACTGGTAGATCCAATTCCAGCTGTCAGAACTGACCGGGGTATAACCTTGGCTGCATATTTCAGGAACTGAGACTTCCCAGTCCCAGGATCCCCAACCAGCAACATGTGGCACTCTCCTGGAGAACAAGAGAAACACACAGACCATTAGGGTGAAGGGAGTCTAACGGGTCATCAGTGGTGTTTCTGACAGCCATCTAAGAATTTAGTTTTCATCTTCAGGATGGAAATTTTTATTAGTCCTTAGTAGCATTTCATGATAGTTTTAGTCAGTTTTATGTTGTAATTCATAAAACATTTAACCTTTACAATTTCAAATATCAACCAGATTCTTTCCCAGACTGACAGCTCTATCCTAGATGCTACAATCACTGGGTATAGAATGCTGCCGTTCAGTTCATCATTGCTGTTGGGCAGAAAAACGTTGATTTATATGATTAGAATAAACTTTTTTATTTATTAACGCCCTACTTCGCAGGTCTTCAACAGGGGGTCTTTGACCCCTAGGGGGTCCACAGAGGTACTGCATGGGGGTTTCCATCCCAAAGCAAACACTTCCTGATCTACTATGGATTATGCATTACACACAGATCAATACAATCTGCATTGCTCCATAAAAAGCTAAGAGCAAAGACATTGGTAATTTTGGCTTTATTTCTTGAATTTGTCCCTTAGTTAGGGGTGAACTGCACACAGTGAAGGGCGGTGAAGAGGTGAGCTTCACACTGTGACAGCGTTCACTGCTCTTCCCTCACCTTCTGCTACTAAGGAATTTAAACTTCAAGCACCAAATATCATAACAGCTTAGTCACATGATGTGGCATTTGCTCCAGGATAAACATATCATCATGAATGCTTATTATAAGCCCACGTAGTCATTTTTATAGTGGTCTGATTCACTTAGAGGCTGTGTTGCCGTACGAGGCTTTTATATTTTTGTGGATCCAGACAGAGTTGTTTTTCTGGGTCCAATATGGCTCTTTGAGCAGTTCGGGTTGCCGACCCCTGCTTTAGGTGGTAGTCGTACTTCTTTTATGTCCCTTTTCTCTATTTTATGTTCGTTTTCAGCACCCTGAATTGTCAGATTTCTGGATTTTTTGTGCAGATGACCTGGCCTTGTCCGTGTGGGTGAACTGGAGCTGTGAAGGTGGCAGACCTTTTCTAAGGAGAAGAAGATCCTGGCTTGTTTGTTTCCATCCGTGGCACTAACACAGAGAATAACATTTTCTAAACATTTCTTTCTTTGTTATTAAAAGATAGCCCACCTATCGCCATCTGAGGCAAACACTGGAGTCTGGCTTTCAGAGTGCTCTGCTTTCATTTATCTTGATCTCCTTTTACAACAGAGATTTAGTGAGTTCAAATGATTATTATTCTGTAATTGAGTTTAATTTGGAGAATCGTACCTCTAACTTTGGTCCCAGAGGAGTCGATTCTGGGCACCCCTCCAGCCAGCACCATGGCCACAGCCAGCTTGATCACATACATGCCAAACACCTGTGGACACAGACTCAACAGGATCTCATTCCTCCCTACAGAGACAAAAGAAACCTCATGAAGAGGTGCAGGCTTCAGCAGACATGCAGAGCTGTGGTGACATAATCCTGACCAGCCAGTGGGTTGTGCTTGTAGCCGTCCCAGAAGTCTTCAAACTCCTTCTGAACATCTCTAACCAGCAGAGCAGCAGCAGCCTGCTGGTTGTTAGCTTCAATGTTGTTAGCTCTCAGGACCAGCTCCACATCACAGGGGGAGCCATCATGAAGGGGCTTCCAGCGGAGACACATCACACCATACACTGTTATGTCATCACCTGGAAACAGCACATCACACCCTCAGCAGGTCTGCTCCATGTTCCTGTCAGTTTTAGATACCCGACTGGACAGAACCTGGAGGAAAACCTGTTCAGAACGGACAGGAAACTGGTGGAGTTTAAAACTAACTCGCTCAAGTTCAATTTTTAACTTTCCGCAAAAGTTTAAAAACAATCCACTGGACTTGGTTTCCAAAGTTTGAAGTTGTTTCGCTTCCTGAAACGTCTTCAAACCTTGGAAACCAATCCCAGTAGATTGTTTTTAAACTTTTACGGAATGATTATGACCTGAATGACTGAGGATCTACATCAGCAACTTTTAAATTCAACTAAGAAAAGAAATAGAAAATTCCTTTATTGTCCCACAGTTGGAAAATTGTGGTGCTCCGGCAGCAAAGGGTTATAGCAGAAGTGGTATCACAAAAGGTTACAAAGTGTATAAAAATAACAGAATAAGTGAGTTAAGAAAAGGAAGGATCTGTGGTAACGCTCCCTGGTGCATTTAGGGTGCAGCAGTCGGTCACTGAAGGAGCTGTCCAGTTCAGCACCAGCTTCATGCATGAGGGTGGGAGACATTATTAACATTAACTTCTTCTAGTTCTCTCCTTCAGAAGGTGAAACATATTAAAACATATTAAAGTCTGGCTTTAGAGCTCATCATAGCACTGAAACAGCTCTGGGGAAAGTCACTAATGATATTCTCATGGCCTCAGATAATGGACTTGTATCTGTGCTCGTCCTGTTGGATCTCAGTGCTGCATTTGATACAGTTAATCATAATATTCTTTTAGAAAGACTTGAATATTTTGTTGGAATTAAAGGAACAGCACTAGACTGGTTTAAATCTTATCTATCTGATCGAATTCAGTTTGTTCATGTTAATGATAGATCTTCAACACGCTCAAAGGTTACCTGTGGAGTACCACAGGGATCAGCGCTAGGACCAATTCTCTTTACTTTATACATGCTCCCAATCGGTAGAGTTATTAGACAGCATGGGATTAATTTCCACTGTTATGCTGATGATACCCAGCTATATCTGTCTATAAATCCAGATGAAGCTAACCCATTACATAGATTACAGGCATGTCTTGAAGACATAAAAACCTGGATGACTCTTAACTTTCTCCTTCTGAATGCAGACAAAACAGAAGTTATAGTCTTTGGATCAGAGTCTCTGAAAAAGAAACTGATTAGTCAGTCACTTCATTTGGATGGGATTAAACTGATTTCAGATAATAAAGTAAAAAATCTTGGTGTTATTTTTGATCAGGACCTGTCATTTAAATCCCAGATCAAAGAGGTTTCTAGAATTTCCTTCTTTCATCTGAGGAACATTGCAAAAATTAGAAATCTCCTGTCCAGGGGTGATGCTGAGAAACTAGTCCATGCATTTGTTACTTCAAGGCTGGACTATTGTAATGCTTTACTATCAGGAAGTCCACAAACTGTAGTTAAAAGCCTTCAGCTGATCCAAAATGCTGCAGCCAGAGTTCTAATGAAAATTAAAAAGAGAGATCATATCTCTCCTATCATGGCTTCTCTTCATTGGCTTCCTGTTAAATCCAGATTAGAATTTAAAATCCTCCTTCTCACATATAAAGCCTTAAATGGCCAAGCTCCATCTGATATCAGAGATCTGATTGTTCCTTATGTTCCTAACAGAGCACTTCGCTCTCAATCTGCAGGTTTACTAGTGGTTCCTAGAATTTCTAAAAGTAGAATGGGAGGCAGAACTTTTAGTTATCAGGCTCCTCTCCTGTGGAACCAACTACCAGTTTTAGTCCGTGAGGCAGACACCCTGTCTACTTTTAAGGCTAGGCTTAAAACTTTCCTTTTTGATAAAGCTTATAGTTAGAGTGGCTCAGGTTATCCTGAGCTATCTCTATAGTTCTGCTGCTATAGGCTTAGACTTTTGGAGGACATAGGGACCCCCATTTCATCATTCTGCTTCATTCTATCTCTATTCTCCCACTCTGCAGAATCTGTTAGTTCAATCTCTAACCTTCTGCTCTCTCTGCTTTTCCTCAGAGTAGCTTTGCCTCGTCTGTTCCTGTTTGGCTGTGACGTCATCCTGGAAAAAAACATCAGCTGTGCTGCTTCTATCAACACCCTTGTTAATAGATGTTGGAGATCGGCCTGTTTTCCAGTGTGGTCCTGTTTCTCTGACCGTGACTGAGTGGATGTGCTCTCCTCGTCCTCTGGCATGGGAGCTGGCTCGGAGCTCGTCTGCCTGGCTGTGTGTTTCCTGGTAGGGGCCGCCTTTTACAGCTGCTTTTTGTATCTCTGCTTCTGTCTCCTTGAACCCCAGTCGGCCTCAGCAGATGGCCGCTCACACTGAGCCTGGTTCTGCTGGAGGTTTCTTCCTGTTAAAAGAGAGTTTTTTCTCTCCACTGTCGCTACAAGCATGCTTAGTGTGGGGGATTGTATTTGAGTCAATGAGTCAATGCAATCAACTGGTTTTCCTTAGATAGAAAACTTTGTATCAATTTGACTGGATGATCTGGTTGAACTGTAAAGTGCCTTGAGATGACATGTGTTGTGAATTTGGCGCTATATAAATAAACTGAATTGAATTGAATTAAAATATCAGTAAAGATGATTTTTCTTTGGCAGAACAATCGAGAGGCTCATTGGTTTTAGGCCCACCATCAAACCGTCAGAACCAGATGGACAGAAGTTGACAGCTCCAGCAGTTTCCTTCTGTTTACCTGAACAAATCTGAGGGGCTCAGAGCAACCAATGACACAGCGCAAACTCTATCCGCCTTATGTTGAACCATGTGATTCTTACCAGATTTACAGCTGTCAACTAGGTCGTCTTCCAGAACCACCACTAAGGAGCGAGGAACACTGCCCACCGCCAGCCGCTGCACCTGTCAGAGAACGGCGTCACTCTTCTCCCTTTCTTTTTCGGCTGCATTTCAAAGCAAAAGAGCAGAGAGCAAATGTTTCTTACTTGCTCCTGGATCTTGATTTCTTGATAGTCTCTGCAGGCGGCAGGCTCAGATGCTTCAGACAGACAGCTGAACTTAGAGGAATTGCAGCCAGCAGGATTGGGGCAGCCGACCGGCTGGACAAAGGTATAGAACTGTTCAAAATCTGCCTGCGCCTTGAAAACATGTCTGCACTTTGAGCAGATGTAGTCCCGTTCAAACTCCAGAACCTACAAACAGAGAGGAAGGTATCAGTTCCAACTAAGGGACCTCCTCTGTCCTACGTACTGCAGAGGAGTTAGACTCTGCTTCACCAGCAGAAAAGCTATGAATGGGGAGAGCGGAGAAATTAAACATCCACTATTAGTGAGGCTTCGCCATCATAGGTTTACCTACAGTTAGAAGCTTTGTTTCTAGACAAATCATTCATCTTCTCAACATTAAAGACGGTATATTCAGAGCTGCTAAGGTTTTTCCAAAGTCATCCTCCAGTCACCAGAAAGCTTGATTAAATCACAATGCAAAGGGGAGAGGGTTGGCTTATTTATGAGGCAAAAACATTTTTACATCACTATCATGCAATTTACCTCTAGAAGTCATCATTTTTGGTCAGTTTGTAGACTAAAGCCTCTGCTTTGTCCTTGGAATGACTCTAGGATTTATGGTTTTGCTTAAATCTCCTCCAGACCGCCCAAAAGTGTGTGCATTTTGAGAGGAGGAGTCACAGCTGTGACTATTTTCCTACATATTTTCTAAATGACATACAGACATGAAATTAAAGACAATCGAGGGCAAGGGATGGCTTTTGCTTACGGTGAAAACATGTTTATAAAACCATTTATGGTTTTCCCACAGTGCTCGTTTGTTTTATTGATCTTCTCACTGTGTTTGTCAATAGCCCTATAAACTCTACCCTTTAGAAACTGTGCTGAGATCAGTCCAAGCATGGTAACCAAGGTAACTGTTGAGTGGAAATGGCACTAACACCTGAACCGGACCGTGCCAGACACAACTGAACCGCTCTAAACTGGTAGTAGTTCATCAGTAGGGTTCGGCGCGGTTCAGTTCTGGCTCAGTTCTCTGATAACAAAGACTGTGTGAGCAGACCGCCTCATCTCCTTACAGTCAGCCTCCGTAATCAGGAATCCTCAGACATTCTTAACAATCCTAGCCCCCCTACTGTGCCTCATGATTTCCAGTGATTATTCTGTTTAGCAGTGTGATGAACCTCAACATCTGCCGTTTCCTGCGTCTGGAAGCCCTGATCAGACTATCGTTTGTCGTATCCACTTCCTACAACCCGACTCTGTCAAGTAAATTCACCAAAGGCTGCCTTCTTCTCCTGACTCTCCGCACACTTCCTGAATGTTACGGGTGCCGCCATTTTGGTTTGCTTATGTCCCTCTAGAGAGCAGTAGTACAGTAGATCGCCACTAGGAGGACAGGAACCGTGGTGTGTAAACGCCCAGCACGGTTAACTGATCCAAGCTCACCACAGATCACTTTTTCAGAGGGTAGTGAACATGGGGCTATAGAGCTACAGAAGAAATGAACCTAATCTAGGACAAGGGATGGAGCAGATGACGGGGTGGGATGACTGAGTGGATGGCGGAGTGACGTCACCTTAGCCACACTGGTGCGTATGACGGTACCAGTCACAGACAGAAAATGACCCACATCTCTGGACCTGGGGATGGTATGTCTGGTTAGTTCTGGACACACCGGGAGACCTGGGGACACGTTTTCACAAAGAGCAGAAAACCAACATGAATTTAAAGAGGAAGAAGTGTACATCGATCTTTTAGGAATTGCTCTAAATATTAATCTTATCCTGCTCTGCAATACTTGATGTTCCTTTAGTGCTGCCTTCACAATGCAGGAACCTGAATTCAGCTACTACTAGAATAAACGCTTCAACTGACAATGAGGAAACGAGCAGCAGAGACAAAGCGAGACTCGGCTGAGCCTGGGCAGCTGGACGTCTGACCTGTGATGCGGGTGTGATAGATCTGCCTCTGTCTGGATCCTGGTCTTCTGTCTTTGAGGGAAGCATCATCTGCTAGCTCCAAAGCTTTCTTCTGTAACACCTCATCAAACACCGCCAGCACATCTTCTGGGTATGCATTGAAATAGTCCCCAACCTTCAGAGAGAAAGGAGTTAGGATACACACCCTCGCTAGTCTGCCCTGGGACAGCCAGCCTGTCAGTCTCCTCTCTGACTCCCACAACTCCCTTAATCTGAAGGATGGACCCAGTGACCTTTTAATGGATACAACATCGGTTAGAAATCATAGCAACTTTCCCCAAATCCCCATGATGAGCTTCTGAAAGCGTGTCTCTGATCAGAGGCAGTGCTTCCCACAGGATTATAGCAGACTGTGGTGGGAGAGTCTCTGACCCTCAGGTTTTAATGTGTGCACATTTAAGCGTGGTAAAAGGGGAACGCCGTTTTTTTTTTTGTTTTTTTTTTTTTTGTTTTTTACATTGGGCCTTGATTTTACTTTATTCCATCATGTTCTACTCTCCCATATAAGTTTTGTGTCATTTGGAGCCGTTCTGAAGATATTCCGCCGATATGACGGCGCGCGGATGACGTCAGACACACTCTGCTTTGTTTTAAAAAATACAAATACTAAAAATATAACCGCTGATGTCTGGGGGACAGTGATTCTCCTACATGTTCTGAATGGTGGCGTAGCATAAATGATCAATTATAAACAGTTTAGTTTGTGCCTTCAAGTCGTTGCCCATAGGAAGACGTTACTGGATATAACCTAACAGAATATCTTCAGAACAGCTCCAAATGACACTAAACTCATATGAGTGAGTAGAACATGATGGAATAACATAAAATCAAGGGGACAATTGAGAAGAAAACGGTGTTCCCCTTTAAGTGCCTTTTTGAGGCCACTTTTTTTTTACTTTTTCTTTTTTCCCTTGTATCCACTAAGGAGCCTACAAATCATTATCTTAGAGAGGAAAACACAAGTTGATTAAGTGACTGTTGCTGTTATTTAAGATCAAACATTTCAAATTCAGTTATTTATTTTTGACCAAATAACATTTTATATTTACATCCCGCTCGCTCAGCCCAGAATGTAAACCAGGGGGGCTGACATTCAGGGCGCTCAGGGTAAACCGTCTGTGGCTCTGACTGCAGCGCTGTGAGGGACTCCTGAGGAAGCAGAAGAACGGGGTTGGGATGGGGGAGGCGCCCCATGGCAGCACCTGCTGCTGAAGGACGAGGAGGAACGATATATGCTTTGACGTTAGAGTCTCCAAAAGCCGGCAGTGACACCAGAAAAGTCGGCAGTTGCTTTATTGAAAAAGAGTCAATGGAGGGGTCTGAAAAGTCCCTAAATATAGCGACAAAGTCGCTGAGTTGGCAACACTGCTCGGGCGAACCGGGTAGCCGGGGCGGCATTTTTATAAAGGAGGGCGGGACGCACACTTCGAAAAAAAATAAACATTTGTCTCTCTATGGCGCTGGGTAACAGGCGGTATGAAAGTACAGCTGTGGAATAGTCTGATAAACTGACAGATCTTTTTGTTGTTGCTCGTCTGCCTGGCTGTGTGTTTCCTGGACGGGGCCGCCTTTTACAGCTGCTTTTTCTATGTCTGCTTCTGTCTCCTTGAACCCCAGTGGGCCTCAGCAGATGGCCGCTCACACTGAGCCTGGTTCTGCTGGAGGTTTCTTCCTGTTCAAAGGGAGTTTTTCCTCTCCACTGTCGCTACAAGCATGCTTAGTATGAGGGATTGCTGAAGAGTCAATGAGTCAATGCAATCAACTGGTTTTCCTTAGATAGAAAACTTTGTATCAATTTGACTGGATGATCTGGTTGAACTGTAAAGTGCCTTGAGATGACATGTGTTGTGAATTTGGTGCTATATAAATAAACTGAATTGAATTGAAATTGAATTGTTTTCTCTCTCTCTGTGTCTATATAAGACTGTGGCGGGCCCTCACTAAGTGACAGCAAGCAGCTCAGAGCAATGAACCAGGAATCAGGATGAGAGAGGAGCCAGTCTCCCTGGATGACTGAGTATCAGAACCAGCCTCTGAGCTCTAAACGTCACATTTTCTTCTGCTTTCTCCACATAACAACAAACCCCATCAACTTACCTCCATATTGGCTTCAAACAGCGTCATGGCGTTGACCACAACGGAGCGATGAGAGTCTTCATTTATGTCGGTGAGGAGCTGCAGAAGCTCATCCTGATGATGCTCCGCCAAATAGGTCTCAAACACTCGACCAATCAGGGCCTCTTCCTCCGGGTTAATCAGCATGGCGAGGCGGTGAGCTCTGGAGGACCAAAGGCAGAGGTCAAAACCTCCCACATGGTTCCCACTGAGGGAAGCTGGATCAGGCCTGGATCTATATCTAGGAACACTGGATGGAACCAGAAACAGAACCAGAACCAGAGCTCCAGCAACACTCTGCTACTTCTGAGACAGTTTTACTGTCCAACGCATTTTACCCAGAAGACACTTTATCACCACAGAAACGCTGAACCACGCTACGAGGCCAAACTCACTACCAGAACCAGTTGATTCTAGCAGAACCAGCCCGTTCTAGCAGAACCAGCCCGTTCTAGCAGCAACCATGATGGCTGGGGTTCCTGGTATGTACTGCCAATACCAGCCCACAGCTGTGCGATCTGAACCAAATAATGTTTTTGAACTACATGGAAATATACATTGTGTATCTTAATATTGTTTTTTTTTTTATGGGGTAATTTTAAAACAGTTCCTCTTAGTGGAAGCACTGTACCGAATGTCACATATTTTCTAGATCATGTTTAAAAGGCTGAACAACAACCTACTGGCATTCAGTAAAGTCTGACAGAGTTTATAGGAAGTGTTGCTTCAATCCTTTCGTTGACACTCCTTTTCTTCATGACCATAATGAAAACTGACAAGCTAAACGTGGATCTTTGATGACTAAAACATGACTAGTTATGGGTTTGAGTTTTCGTCAACAAGACAAATTGGAGGGTCATTGGTTTAAAATGTATCATCGTGCTGTGAAGCAAAGCAATATCAGCCGTGCTGCTGCTTCCAAACTGATTCTACTGTCCACCTGCTGCACAGCGCTGTACATGCTGCAGGAGCACAGATGCATCATGGCAGCGGACGGACGGACGGATGGACGGAATCCCCAATGTACAAAAAAATTAATGATGGATGTGTCATTCACTGGAGCTGAATGCAATAATAGATGATGACTCAAAAATTTGTTCCAGAAGCCACAAGGGGGTTGGGAGCCAACTATACAAAGAATTTGACTGGAACAAATTTAGATTCTTCAGGACGCCGCCGCTAACAGCTTCTGTTACCAAGAACACGGAGTGGAGCGGAGTGCTGACTCAGTATGTGGAATCTGGGGGTAATAGTTAACCTTCTTCAGGACCTCTGCCATTCTCCCTGTCATGCTCTCAATCAACTTCTGGACCAAATCCTGACTGATAGCGTCCATTCTTGCCCAATCAATGCTTGCATTTGGTCAGAATTCCTAGGTTTTCATTTGTCCACCCATCTCTTGATGATTGACCACAAGTTTTCAATGGGATTAAGATCAGGGGAGTTTCCAGGCCATGGACCCAAAATCTATGTTTTGTTCCCTGAGCCAGTTAGATATCAGCTTTGCTTCATGGCAAGGTGCTCCATCATCATGCTGGAAAAGGCATTGTTCATCAACAGACTGCTCTTGGATGGTTGGGAGAAATTGCTCTCCAAGACATTCTCAGATCCTGCAGCTGAAACACTTTTCAGAGACAGTCCTGGCGCTTGCTGGTCTTTCTTGCATTGTTTTAGCAACAATGGAACCTCTCTCCTTGAAGTTCTTAATGATGCCATAGATTGCTGACTAAGGTGCAATCTTTCTAGCTGCGATTCTCTTTCCTGTTAGGCCATTTTTGTGCAGTGCAATGATGAATGCACGTGTTTCTTTAGAGATAGCCATGGTTCACAGAAGAGAAACAATGATGCCAAGTAGCAGCCTCTTTCTAAAGTGCCCAGTGACGTCATTCTGACTGAATCCTGACAGATTGATCTGCAGCCCTGTCCTCATCACCACCCACACCTGAGTTAATGGAGCAATCACAGAAACCATGGTAGCTGCCCCTTAAAGCAGGGCTGCAATGACGCTGAAATGTGTTTTGGGGGAAAGAGTTAATTTTCTAGGCAAATATTGACGTTGCATTTAAATGCTGTTACGCTGATCACTCTTTATAACATTCTGGAGTAAATGCAGATTGGCGTTATAAAAACTGAAGCAGTAGACTTTGTAAATATTAACATTTGAATCATTCTCCAAACTTTTGGCCATGACTGTATAACCCCCTCACCAACACAACAAACGGACAGTAACTGACCTGCTTCACAAGCCGCTGAGCTTCCAAACTTCACATTACGCGGCTTCTTCTTCTTCTTCTTCTTCTTCTTCTTCTTCTTCTTCTTCTTCTTCTTCTTCTTCTTCTTCTTCTTCTTCTTCTTTAGATTTTAAGGGCAGCTTGCATCCATTATTGTCGCACTACTGCCATCTATCGGATCCTAATATATATCCCTCAAACTCTCATAATGATCCCAGTATTTATTTTTTTAAAGAAAAATCTTTTTAAAACCTAATTCTATTTTTAATAATGTTCTTTGATTTACAAATGTTCTACAGCTAATTAAAACGTGTTGCATTGTTTCTAGATTATGAAGCCAACCACAGAAACCAGTTAGATGTTTCCTTATCTTATAAATATTTACATTTAACAAACTGTGACTGGCTCTTATTCTGTTTATGATTATCTCCTCCCTCCTGTTTATCCCTCTAATACTTGCTACATTGACTGTATTTTATTTCCTATGCAAATTACTTACATTTATTAGATTCATTTATTTATATCCCACCTAATTTTGCATATCTTCTTGCTTTCTCTCCAAGCTAAACTTTTTGATCACTTTACTGGCATATCAGCATCTTTTTTTAATAGCATCCTTAGCCAAACTATCTGTACTCTCATTTCCCAAAATATGAGCAGCAGTCCAAAATAATACATTTTTATTTTCTTCACATATTCTATGATGAACAGCCATAATCCCATATAATATATTTTGATGGCTGTTTGTACATCCCTTTTCAATACGTAACAATGCAGATAATGAATCACTACAACTTATTATTTTATTTATAAAATAATATTGTGTGACCATTTTCAATAATCTTTTTGCTGCTGTAAATTTGCCCATTGTCAGACAGTAAAGGGATTTTCTATTCTATTCAATAAAAATGGTAGAAATATATAAGTAAATCTAAACAATGTATGTATAAAATATACCTGCAAAATCTCTTATATTCAATAACAAAAAATACTTAGTTAAGCATATTTTGCAAAACAGCAATAAAAAAATCTGAATCCTATCAGATTTATGGTCCCCACTCTGCAGATATATTAGAATCTGTCCTTAAATTGCAGCCAAACCCATTTAATCAGTAACAGATAAAAACCTTTAGATAAACCAAACATTACCGCCACATATCTGACTCAATAACAATTAAAACAACTATTTTCATTCATTTCAGATGGAACTATTCACAGACTGGATTATATTAAACTGCACTTCCAATTTTCACCACTGTTCGGCGCCAAGTAACCTTTTCTCTGACCACGGCTTGCTTGGTCTCGCAATGAATCCTGGGTAAACCAAGGATATTTTTTTTAATAACTTTATTTGGAACAGTAACAATGACAAACTCAAAAATTAAAGTATAATACAGCATAACATATAGTCAATCATACCTCCTAACACTTTTCTTAATATATTTTTTCTTTTCTTTCAAGTACACTTCAGAAAGAGAGAGAAAAAAACGAAAACCAAAGATATCTATAATTACATATGTCAAATACAACAGAATTATAATGAAAGATAAATGAATAAATAAAAAAAATAAAATAAAAAATACAAAACACACACACACAATAAAATCAAGTAATTATTCTTTAATTTGTATCGTGGGAGGGCTGAAATAAATTAGAGAGGTGATATGAGAAACTTTTTGCTTTTGGTTTCTGAATTTTGTCCTTCCTTTATTAGCTTTATGGTAAAAGAATCTAATGCATAATACAAAAATCTTTTTAGTCAACTAGATAATATTTAATTAAAATATCTGTGAATGTTAAGTTAAAGTTATAGATTGCAGAAAATGAAATGGAAACTAATATATAAAGACATGTATAAAACTGAGTCTTTATTTTGGAGAAACTTTTCCTGGAAACTGCTGACAAGATAATTCTTAAACCAAGGACATAACTAGATAAACCGGCTCTATGTTGGAGGAAGTGGTGAAGAGAAGGCCGGTTATTTACACATTGATTGGACCTGCAAAATTATACAGCCATGCTGGCAAGGACTTGTTAGATCAGGGGTCTTCAAGGTTTTCCAGGCCAAGGACCCCCAAACCGATGGCCAGATGGAGCGGGGACCCCCTTATGTATAGTATTAAATTGTATTATATCAAACTGGTCCTATAGTCCCTCTATTACAGATGGAGTAATGTAACTAAAGTAATTTCTCCCTGGGATTATTAAAGTATTTCTGATTCCTGGTTGATGGGACAGGTGTTGTGAATGAAACGGTGCCCAGCTTAAAGAGCTCCTCATTTGGTGTTAAAATTACATATTTAAAATGTTAAAGCCCAAACACATAGCGGAGGATGAAGGGAACAAAGGCAGTCCATGCAGACTGAGCTGCTGCTGCAGAGGAAGAGGAGGAGCGTCATGGCTACGTGCTGAGGAAGAGGAGGAGGAGGAAGATCTGCTGACAGACCAGCAGCCTGAGCGGCTCCGAACCAGCTTCTGTCCCGATCGGTACCGGTACCGGTACCGGCTTTATCAGCAGCTCTTCTCATCTTTTTTCTGGGTTCCGGTTTCTTCTGCAGATGATGTGGAACCGAAGCGACGCTGAATCCGGACCTGAAGGGCCCCCAGCAGGTAATGATCGCTGGCCCGCTCCGGGGCCCTTCATTTAAAGCCCACTCCGCTTTACTCTGACACAACAAACATCTCTGGATGTTTAAAACTTTCCTAATATATATGTATATATTCCACGAGACCTGGAGCCCAGAGAGCATCACCTGGACAGGATGCTGGCAGATTATTAATCTAGAGTGGATTAAATCTCAGCTCTATATATAAAGCCTTTTAAAACCTCTACAGCTGCCACAAAGTGCTGCACATATCAGGTAAAGTTGAAATTGTGTAAAAACAACATAGAAGTTTAAAGGAATGAAACAATTAGAATACAATTAACTAATTAAAAAAAAAAAACAATAAAAAAAAAATGCTAAATCAGAGAGTCTCATGCTGTGTTAAAAGCCAAAGAATAAAAATAGGTTTTAGGACGAGTTTGAAAAACAGTGAGGAGGATTGTCTAATGAGGAGCCGTAACTGAAAAAGCTGTGTCTCCTGTGAGCTTCCGTACCTGCAGCAAGCAAGGGGGGATTTACCATTAGGGGAAAAAATATATATATGTATATTGGGCAGTTGTCTCAAGTTCCTGGGGGACCCATAAAACTCCTTTTACACAATTGGTTAATACAACTATTCCTTATTTGTGCACATTAATTATGTTTTTGATAAAATCCTTTCTCTAAAATGCCATCAGAACGTTTATAATATTAAGTGTGTCTCAGCCCCCCCCCTTCAGTGTCCCCCATATTGGATCAGTCCATTTGCTGCACATGTTCAGAAAGGTCCAAACAGACAGCAGCAAACCATTTGAAAACAAACCATGCAAAGAGCAGTTTTGCCAACTTAGCGCTTTAGTCGCTATATTTAGCCACTTTTCAGACCCCTCTAGCACTTTGATTTCTAAAAAGCGCATAGCGACAAATCTAGCACCTTTTTTCTGCTACCGGAGACTTTGGCGACAACATAGTCGACAACAAGCATATAGACAACAAGCAGCGAACTCTGCTCTCCAGAGCGAGTAGATTGGTAACCCCGCCTCCTGCTCTCCTCTATCTTGTCTGCTGTCATGATTCATGCAGCTATTATTTCATCCAAATTAAATAATAGCGAGGTCGGAGACATGGAGTCGGAGTGGTCCATGTTTTCATCCTCCGATGTCGATGCGGCCGTTCATACCTGTGGCCGCAAGGTCTCTGGTGCCTGTCGTGGCAGCAATCCCTGAATCTGGTGGTGGCACCCGAAGTAAGGGATGCCGTCAAGCTGAAGAAGGTGGCCTACCCGGCCTTGTAGCAAGTGCAAGCTAAGATGTTCCCGGCAGGTCAACTGTTCTGCGGCTCGTGCGGTGGCAGAGGCAAAAACTCGGGTCTTGGAGGAGTTCGAGGAGGCCAGGGAGGAGGACTATTGGTCTGCCTCGAAAGTATTTTGGCAAACTGTTCGCCACCTTAGAAGGGGGAAGCAGTGCTTCACCAATACTGTTTACAGTGTGGGTGGAGAGCTGCTGACATAGACTAGGGATGTTGTCAGGCAGGGGAAGGAGTCCTTCGAGGATCTCCTCACTCCCATCGTCACGCCTTCCGAGGAGGAGGCAGGGGCTAGGGACTTAGAGGTGGACTCGCAGATCAGCCAGGCGGAAGTCACAGTCACAGACCTTAAGTCTCTGGATGTTGTGGGACTGTCTTGGCTGACATGTCTCTGCAGTATCGCGTGGTGGTCGAGGACAGTACCCCTGGATTGGCAGACTGGGGTGGTGGTCCCTATCTTTAAAAAGGGGGACCGAAGGGTGTGCTTTAGTAAAATGACCGCTTTGGGAACCTCAGGATATCAACTTTGCTGTTTGCAGATGATTAGTGCAGCGTTGGCAGTGATGTGGTCGCTGTATAGGTCTATCGTGGTGAAGAGGGAGCTGAGTCGGTGGGCAAAACTCTTGATTTACCGATCAATCTATGTTCCCACCCTCACCTATGATCATGAGATCACAAATACAAGCGGCCGAAATGTGCTTCCTTCGCAGGGTGGCTGGGCGCACCCTTCGAGATCGGGTGAGGTGCTCAGTTACCTGGGAGGAGCTTGGAGTAGAGTCGTTGCCCATTCTACCTGCTGGGTTCTAGGCTGCCCATTCTACCTGCTGGGTTCCTAGGCTGCCCATTCTACCTGCTGGGTTCCTAGGCTGCCCATTCTAACTCCATCATTTCTAGGCTGCCCATTCTATCTCCCGGGGTTCTAGGCTGCCCATTCTACCTGCTGGGTTTCTAGGCTGCCCATTCTACCTGCTGGGGTTCTAGGCTGCCCATTCTACCTGCTGGGTTCTAGGCTGCCCATTCTACCTGCTGGGTTCTAGGCTGCCCATTCTACCTGCTGGGTTCTAGGCTGCCCATTCTACCTGCTGGGTTCCTAGGCTGCCCATTCTAACTCCATCATTTCTAGGCTGCCCATTCTATCTCCCGGGGTTCTAGGCTGCCCATTCTACCTGCTGGGTTTCTAGGCTGCCCATTCTACCTGCTGGGGTTCTAGGCTGCCCATTCTACCTGCTGGGGTTCTAGGCTGCCCATTCTACCTGCTGGGGTTCTAGGCTGCCCATTCTACCTCCTGGGTTTCTAGGCTGCCCATTCTACCTGCTGGGTTTCTAGGCTGCCCATTCTACCTGCTGGGTTTCTAGGCTGCCCATTCTACCTGCTGGGGTTCTAGGCTGCCCATTCTACCTGCTGGGGTTCTAGGCTGCCCATTCTACCTGCTGGGGTTCTAGGCTGCCCATTCTATCTCCTGGGGTTCTAGACTGCCCATTCTATCTCCTGGGGTTCTAGGCTGCCCATTCTACCTGCTGGGTTTCTAGGCTGCCCATTCTATCTCCTGGGGTTCTAGACTGCCCATTCTACCTCCTGGGGTTCTAGGCTGCCCATTCTATCTCCTGGGGTTCTAGACTGCCCATTCTATCTCCTGGGGTTCTAGGCTGCCCATTCTACCTCCTGGGGTTCTAGGTTGCCCATTCTACCTGCTGGGGTTCTAGGCTGCCCATTCCACCTGCTGGGTTCTAGGCTGCCCATTCTACCTGCTGGGTTCTAGGCTGCCCATTCTACCTGCTGGGTTTCTAGGCTCATGGATGGATGGATGGATGGATGGATGGATGGATGGATGGATGGATGACAATGGAGAACAGATAAGCAGATCATGGCTTGTCTACAGTGAAAAGAAGGACTGGGTTATTTACTTTGGCCTTTTTGGAAACACAGGAAGGAGCAATCAGCTAAGTGAGCTTAGTGCTTGGAAACAATCTTTCATTCCTTTAGAGACAGCATGAAAAGTCAGCTGAGTACAAAACATAGAGAGGAAAACAAGAAGAAAAGGGACAAGAAGAGAGGGACACAACCTAGAACAGATAATGGATGTCTATTCTATTAACATTTCTCTATCTGTGTAATTGCTCTGTTTTTATGTGTTGGTGTGTTGTGTTGTCAGCAGGTACAGAGTGGGAGCATAGGGGTGAAGAAGCTGAGAGATTTAAGGAGGGGCATTTTAGAGACTTAAAAACAAATAAAATAATTTTAAAATGAACAGACAGCCAATGAAGGGAGGCCAGGATGGGAGTCCTGTGCTCCCTCTGAAAAGCTCCAGTTGAAAGGCATGCGGCTGCATTTTGCTGGATCAACCTTAAATAAAGCGTATTACAGTAGTCTCACTGCAGAGTAGTGAGGTGTAACAAAGGTATGGATTACTGTTTCAAAATGCTGCTGTGCAAGAAAGGTTTGGCCAACTGTCAGATGTGGTAAAAGCTGGAATGTACTACAGAACTGACTGATTCGTTCATACAGAAAGGATTTACTAACATTCACAAATGTTAATGGGACTGACCACCATCACAAAAAACTACTACTTATGAAAGAATTCAGTTTTCCAAATGGCATGATAAAATCTCTAACATAAATCACTGTATCATTATCTATGGTTTTCCAGTGACACAGTCTCACTCTGACAGGTTTTGTACAGAATTAATCAGGACATGATCCAATCAATTCAATTGGAATTAGATTAATTTGATCCAATTCGTTGCTTCATTCAAAGCCTCAGTCAGTCTCATTCACGGCTTCATTCATTGCCACATTTGGCCTCTTCCCCTGCCTCTTCCCCTGCCTCGTCCTCTGCCTCGTCCTCTGCCTCGTAATCTGCCTCGTCCCCTGCCTCGTCCTCTGCTTCATCCTCTGCCTCGTCCCATGCCCCGTTTTCTGCCTCGTCCCTTGCCTCATCCCCTGCCTCGTCCCTTGCCTCATACCCTGCCTCTTCCACTGCCTCGTCCTCTGCCTTGTCCCTTGCCTCGTCCCTTGCCTCGTCCCCTGCCTCATCCCCTGCCTCGTCCCCTGCCTCATCCCCTGCCTCGTCCCCTGCCTCATCCCCTGCCTCGTCCCTTGCCTCATCCCCTGCCTCATCCTCTGCCTCATCCTCTGCCTCGTCCCCTGCCTTGTGCCCTGCTTCATTTTCTGCCTCGTCCCATGCCTCGTTTTCTGCCTCATCCCCTGTCTCGTCCCTTGCCTCATCCCCTGCCTCATCCTCTGCCTCGTCCCCTGCCTTGTGCCCTGCTTCATTTTCTGCCTCGTCCCATGCCTCGTTTTCTGCCTCATCCCCTATCTCGTCCCTTGCCTCGTCCCCTGCCTCGTCCCTTGCCTCATCCCCTGCCTCATCCTCTGCCTCGTCCCCTGCCTTGTGCCCTGCTTCATTTTCTGCCTTTTTTCTGCCTCATCCCCTGTCTCGTCCCTTGTCTCGTCCCCTGCCTCTTTCCCTGCCTCATCCCCTGCCTCTTCCACTGCCTCATCCTCTGCCTTGTCCCTTGCCTCGTCCCTTGCCTCTTCCCCTGCCTCATCCCCTGCCTCGTCCCGCACCTCGTCCCCTGCCTCTTTCCCTGCCTCATCCTCTGCCTCTTTCCCTGCCTCATCCCCTGCCTCGTCCCTTGCCTCATCCCCTGCCTCATCCTCTGCCTCATCCTCTGCCTCGTCCCCTGCCTTGTGCCCTGCTTCATTTTCTGCCTCTTTTCTGCCTCATCCCCTGTCTCGTCCCTTGTCTCGTCCCCTGCCTCTTTCCCTGCCTCATCCCCTGCCTCTTCCACTGCCTCATCCTCTGCCTTGTCCCTTGCCTCGTCCCTTGCCTCGTCCCCTGCCTCATCCCCTGCCTCGTCCCGCACCTCGTCCCCTGCCTCTTCCCCTGCCTCTTTCCCTGCCTCATCCTCTGCCTCTTTCCCTGCCTCATCCCCTGCCTCGTCCCCTGCCTGGTCCCTTGTCTCATCCCCTGCCTCGTCCCCTGCCTGGTCCCTTGTCTCATCCCCTGCCTCGTCCCCTGCCTGGTCCCCTGTCTCGTCCCCTGCCTCATCCTCTGCCTCGTCCCATGCCCCGTTTTTTGCCTCTTCCCCTGCCTCATCCTCTGCCTCGTTCCGCACCTCGTCCCCTGCCTCATCCTCTGCCTCGTCTTCTGCCTCGTTCCCTCCACTTCTTTGGGGGTCATTAGGCCCGAGCAGCGAAGGCTGCAAGAGCCTATTGTATTTTGTTTTATTTCTGGATCTTTTTATGAGACTTTGCAGCAGCATCTCATTCAGGTTATGTTCTTTAACCTTGATGTGACAAATATAAATCTGAGTTCAAAGCAACAAGCTTCCCCCACATTGGGGTCATTGTATAACTGAGAGTCTCATCTTTGTTAACATGCTGATGTTTGTGATGCAGGAGAACATCCTGCCTGGGCATCAGCTGCTCTATAAACCACCATTTAATGGCCTCTGGTTGCTTGTGTCTGGTTTGTTTCAGGGTCCAGTTGTGGCTCAGTTGGGTGGGCCCTGGGGCATGAGTCCACCTGGCAAGGCAGCCTCCTCTGCTCCGGAAGCAGGGTTTGTTCTGGACGAAGACAGAGCACCGTGTCTGACGGCGGGGACACAGGGATCGGTACTTACTGCTCAGACAGTTTGGAAGGTATGTCCACTGGTGGACGAAGTACTCAACTGTAGTACTTGAGTAAAAGTATTAATACTCACTGTCAACTATTACTGAACTACAAGTAAAAGTTACTCAGTCAAACATTTATTCAAGTTAAAGTATTAAAGTATTCACTGTTGAAAATACTTAAGTATTCAAAAATACAAATTAAATATTCTTTATCAGTACATTTCTATGTCATTTTCAGAGTCATTTTAAAGAACCTGTAACTTTCAGAAACCACCTGATTTATTGATGCATAGAACCATCTGCTATAGATTCTACACCATCTGGAAAGAATGGACAAAAAAGACACAAAAACTAAGGGCAAATATTATGATTATCATTTCTTAATAAAAAACAAACCAAAGAGAAAACAAGAGTGTTGATTCTCCTCCTACTGAATAGAGGTTAAAGGTTGAATCTATTACAGCAGAGAAACTGCAGCTCTGCTCTGGGAACTCATCCTACTGAACAACTTAAATCTCTAGATTTATTCCTAAGGGCTGCTGTCTGCCATGAGGAAAATACATTTCAATAAAGGAAAACAGCAACATTATAAAGCTAAGCTGAGCCAAAAAGAACAAGGAACTAGCAGCTTCCTAGAAATGGAGTAGAAAGTTAATAGTATAGATTCAGTTTAGATTAAATGCAGATGAAGATCATTGTTCTGCTGAAATATGCTTGAAATAAAATGCCTGCAGTGATTCTCCCCCTGATGGAAACGTGCTTTTCTGTCCACAGATGACTCCAGTTCCAGTATGACTCCCCTGTCCACCCTTCTTCTGTCGCAGCAGGAGGAAGATGGCCTCCTTTCTGCTACCATGTCTTCTCCTTCATCCTCACCTGGAGTTTTCCTAAAGATGTCCTCTTCATCCCACAGCCTGAGTTGTTGGAACAGGTCCTGCAAGATTAGTAAGCCCCTCAGCTCTACTGTAGAAGCCCAGAGTAGTACGGACAGAAGAGGCCATCCACCCATCAGGAGGTCCTTGTCTTTTACCAAGCTGTCCTCAGGGGTGGAGAAGAGCTCCATGAAGACATCCTGCTCTGTTTACAGCACAGGAGCCCAGGGCTCTCTGGACAGAGGTATGCTTTATGGGTATAGAAGGAAAAACACAGACTCTAAAGTCAAGCTTCACCTGCCTCTATCATCCAGCACGGCGTACAGCAGCGCGCTGCAGAGATCTCCTGGTTCCCACCCCTCCTGTGGCCTCAAACACAGCAGCAGGTCTCCTGGTCTGAGGAGAGATCCATCTCCGTCCTCCTCTCATTCTTCTCCTGTGAAGCACAGTTGCATGTGCAACAGTTTGCATGGGGGTGGTCAGCAGGGGCACTGGGTGGACCGACCCATAGACACACCCATCCAGCCGGCTGTGCGAACCCAGATGTGGCTGAACGAGCAGATGGAGTACCAGCCCAAACTGGACCCTGGAACGGAGCCTGGTGAGAACGGGGGAGTGGACGCGTTCTCCCTGCTGCATCAGGAGCCTGGACTCCAGCAGGTATGGATGATTGCTGCACGTGGAGGTAGCGAACGTGCCCATGTTCAAGGATCAGCTCGGGGGGGCAGCCGCTGTCCTCCACAGACCTTGGACCTGTTATTAAATTCCAACCCAGTAAATAGAACAATAGAGGAAGTTCCTATCATTCAACTTTTCTATTTTCATTTGTTTTGCTCTGATTCACTCTTCAGCTGCTCTAAACACGATAAAATCCAAATTCCCTCATTAAAGATTACAATATTTACAAAATCTGTTCACACAATAATAAGCCAAAGTAAAGTCATAATGTCTGTGGGGTGGAAGGCGGTGCCTCACCAAAACCTTTTCAGACTTGGCAACCCTAATGGTCAGGATGGAAGTGGCAGCTAGGCTAGCCTAGCCTGGCCTTCCTGAAGCATGAGCAGCGAGTGGGTAGATGGTTGGAGGTGAACAGAAGGGGCGTGTTTAGATGGAGCCCTGTGGACTCTGCAGGCAGAGCTTTACACAGACTTTAATTTCTTTCTTTCTAGTTCATCCTGTTAAACTCAGTTTGCACCTGTTCTGTTAGATCAGCAGTGGGGCGAAGAACTGCTGAGGGCTCCATCAGATGCTGAAGCTGGAGGATAGGGACGCATCAAGGCCAAATCCAAAGCAGGGATAGAAAGTATAACAGGAAAAGAAAGCAAAAACAAGGAAATGGTTCAGACATGGGAGCTGGCTTCTTTTTCTGTCTGCTTCTGTCTCCTTGAACCCCAGTCGGCCTCAGCAGATGGCTCTTCAGCAATCCCTCACACTTTTTATGATGGAAATGTTAGCACATCTTCTGGGGATTAAAGGAACCAGTTTGATCTAGTTTGGGTTGGTTAGATGAGGTCCCCAACCACAGCCAGAGCAGACCTTCTGCTGTCTCATAAAGTTCAATTGGAAGCTAATCTGGTTGCTTGAATCTTTGTTGGTTTCCTGTTTTCTTCACAAACTGCTGAGTTCCTGGAGAGCTGGAACTGTGGGCCATTGTTCTGCTGGTCGATGCTGTTCTGGATCACCATCCACTGTTCCTACAGGCAGCCCAAGCAGAAGCCTCACTATGGCAGAAAGGCTTCTGAGCCAGTAGAACACATGGCCCAATGGTTTTCCATCATGGAAAACAGGCCCCCAAGTCCATTAGAACCAATTGCTCCCCCAGAAATGCTCCATGATCCTGGACCCAATGAGCAAAGTGCAGCATTGATCTATGTTCTAATGCCTGGTTCTGTTTGCTGTGTTTTTGTTCTAGCAGACGCTCAGAGGAAGGTCCATCCCTGCCAACACTCTGCTGAGGGTGAAGGAGAAGCTTCTGAGGGAGAGAGAGGTGGAGATCCAAAGGTACTGCCTGAGCCTCAACCACTCGTTCCTACCCAGACCTGGAAGATGGGTCTGAACCTGCAGCTTCATGAGGAAGAACCAAATGGTAAAACCTCTGAGCGCTGCCGAAGAAGAGCCAGTCCATCCCGTGGCAGAGGGACGTGTAGCTCACTTGGTTCTGTCCATTCCAACAAAGTGATGGACAGAACCAGGCTGTCCCACAGTCCACCATCCGTCTGCTTGACAAACATTTCCACGAGTGTTGAAGTGTTTCGTCTAAGCAGTTCAAAAAAGTAACAAAACAAAAAAAAATCCACAGGATTTTGTTTCCAAGTTTGAAGACGTTTCTCTTCCCATCCAGGAAGAGAAGCTTTTTCAATTAAAAATGTCAGAAATAAGTTCCAGGTTTTATATATAGAGTGGAACAACAAAGCCTTGTTTTTGTTTAGATAATTAGCAAATAGAAATGGATGAACGGGTCCATCCCTTTGGAACGGGGGTGGTTTAGCTTCTTTGTTAGCCTGCAATCCCCCATACCTGTCTATGTCTCTGAAAGGGGGGTCGTTAGCAGGAATTGTTGGCCTGGCCCAATAGGTGAGGTCTTCTGTTCCCCTGTCAAGGGTTGCGATGATGATGTTTGATTGGAAAAAAGCTTCAGGGATGGGAATGAAACGTCTTCAAACTTGGAAACAAAGTCCAACGGATTATTTTTTTTACTGTTTTGGACTGACTATGACCTGGATGACGGAGAATCTTCACCAGGATGTTTGGTCTAAGGGTTGCCTTTAGGGAGCTGTGACTGAAACCAAACCTTTCTGTGTTTCAGTCAAAAGCTGCAAATCCTCCAGCTGCAAGTCTGGATCAGAGAGAACGAGCAGAGAGCTCAGCAGGTTCTGGTCGGCCAGAGGGGGCCGCTCACCCCCCCAAACGCCCAGGTGAGACGCCAACGAGACTTCAGCTTCTCTGACATGTTCCACAACTCACCAAAGCAATGCTTGTGGTTTAGGAAGCAGCAGTGAGGACGTCCTGCAGAGCGGAGAGGCTGGGCTGGGAGCAAGAACTGGGTGAGAAACTAGCCGCGGCCGAGCTGGAAGTTCTCCATCTGGACCAGTTCTTTAAGCAAGTCATCCTGAAATATAAGGAGGAGAGGAGGAAACTGGAGGAGAAGGTGAGTTTAAACCCTGGATTCAATGTGAACCAACATGTCTGCTTCCCTGTCTGATCACGGAGCTTCTGTGTGAGCAGATAAAGACGAGGGACCGCTACATCACCAGCCTGAAGAAGAAGTGCCAGAGAGAGAGTGAGCAGAACCAGGAGAGACAGCAGCGGATCGAGACCCTGGAGAAGTACCTCTCTGACCTGCCCACACCAGGCCAGGTGCAGGTCCAGTCCAAGCAGGTAATTCCTCTTTTCTAAGACTTTTCATTTCACCTTATTTATCGCTTGTTACTTTAATCATTTTCAGTTCTTAGCTATGAGTTATTCATTTTCTATAAATGTTATTGTTTTTCTTTCTTTAAAAGCACTGTAAAATACATGAATATCATTATTATCCCTTAGTTTAACGTAAGTCTCCACTAGCAGAAGTCGCTGGATTTGGCGCTAGGAGCTTTTTTGAAATCAAAGGGCATAAGGGGTCTGAAAAGCCGCTAAATATAACTGCTCCCAGTAGATCCTGCTGACAAACTCCAGCTGTTGATTGGAAAAATAATTAACAAAAAATTGAGATCTAGTGTTCTTCATGCTTGAAATGATTTAGTTGGCAATGACTGATTGGATCAAACACAGGAGTTTGTCACAGTAGGAAGCTGACAGGGGGCTTCTCCAGCTTTCTATCAGCTTTTCCTTGGATCCTCCAGTTGTAGAAATGCCTATCCGTCCTTCATCTCATGTTGTGTGACGTCAGCAGGACAAGCTGGAAGAAACAAAGCAGCATCTAGAGAACACGGTGCTTCAGCTGCAGAGGAGCATAGAGGAAGGATGTGCTCTGATCCAGAGGAAAGACGCTTTGATTGAGATGCAAGCCAAGACGGAGAACCAGCTGATGGCATCTGTTCAGAGGTGAGGTGTTTGACCTACACGCTCATACTTCCTGTCATGCCTCCACCTCAGACGTCTCTGTTTGGTTGACAGTCTGAGGAAGAAGGTGCAGCAGTGTCTGGATGATGGCGTTCGGCTTCCGGTGCAAGATTTCAAAATGCTAAAGGGGGAAAACTCTCAGCTCCTGCAGCAGCACCGTTACAGCAACAGGGTATCATCATCATCATCATCATTATGAGCAGCTACTGCTTCAGCTAATGAAGTCAGAAACATACTAATGGCTGCCCCTCCAACAGGTGCTGAGGATGCAGGAGGAGGAGATTGAGAGACTAACGTCACAGCTAACGGTAAACTGTACCTTCTGGATGTCTGGATCAGAACCAGAATGTCTCTATTGTCTTGGTTTAAAGGGAGCATGGAGGGGGGGGGGGGGGGGGGGGGGGGGGTAACTCTGGTACCCTGGAACTCTGCACAGAGTACCAGAGTCCTTTGCTGTGTTTGACCCCAGCATGATGGCTCAGCTGAGAACAGGAGTTCTTTTCAGTGAACTGAATCCTAGAACCTGTAGATTCATTCCATCCCTGCAGAAACAGTTCTGGGTTTATGGTTGAAATGAGATAATTCTCCAGGTTGCATCTGAAAACCTCACTGGATCGCATCTTTATTGGATCTGGACTCAAATTCTGGAGAGATTCACAGCCTGATCTATAGCAACAGCCCAGCTTCACTGTCAGCACAGACTACCCGTTCTACCTGCTGGGTTCTAGGCTGCCCGTTCTACCTGTTGGGTTCCAGGCTGCCCGTTCTACCTGCTGGGTTCCAGGCTGCCCGTTCTACCTGCTGGGTTCCAGGCTGCCCGTTCTACCTGCTGGGTTCCAGGCTGCCCGTTTTACCTGCTGGGTTCCAGGCTGCCCGTTCTACCTGCTGGGTTCCAGGCTGCCCGTTTTACCTGCTGGGTTCCAGGCTGCCCGTTCTACCTGCTGGGTTCCAGGCTGCCCGTTCTACCTGCTGGGTTCCAGGCTGCCCGTTCTACCTGCTGGGTTCCAGGCTGCCCGTTCTACCTGCTGGGTTCCAGGCTGCCCGTTCTACCTGCTGGGTTCCAGGCTGCCCGTTCTACCTGCTGGGTTCCAGGCTGCCCGTTCTACCTGCTGGGTTCCAGGCTGCCCGTTCTACCTGCTGAGTTCCAGGCTGCCCGTTCTACCTGCTGGGTTCCAGGCTGCCCGTTCTACCTGCTGGGTTCCAGGCTGCCCGTTCTACCTGCTGGGTTCCAGGCTGCCCGTTCTACCTGCTGGGTTCCAGGCTGCCCGTTCTACCTGCTGGGTTCCAGGCTGCCCGTTCTACCTGCTGGGTTCCAGGCTGCCCGTTCTACCTGCTGGGTTCCAGGCTGCCCGTTCTACCTGCTGGGTTCCAGGCTGCCCGTTCTACCTGCTGGGTTCCAGGCTGCCCGTTATACCTGCTGGGTTCTAGGCTGCCCGTCTACTTGCTGGGTTCTAGGCTGCCCGTTCTACCTGCTGGGTTCTAGGCTGCCCGTTCTACCTGCTGGATTCCAGGCTGCCCGTTCTACCTGCTGGGTTCCAGGCTGCCCGTTCTACCTGCTGGGTTCCAGGCTGCCCGTTCTACCTGCTGGGTTCCAGGCTGCCCGTTCTACCTGCTGGGTTCCAGGCTGCCCGTTCTACCTGCTGGGTTCCAGGCTGCCCGTTCTACCTGCTGGGTTCCAGGCTGCCCGTTATACCTGCTGGGTTCTAGGCTGCCCGTTATACCTGATAGCCAGAGTCTCCCAAAGACATAATGTTTTGATGTGAGGAGGAGGAGGAGGAGGAGGAGGAGGAGGAGGAGGAGGAGGAGGAGGAGGAGGAGGAGGAGGAGGAGGACTAAAGCTGGACAATTAAAGAATTTAATTTAATTGTTAATAAAAGGCTTTATTGGACTTCCTCCTGGTGCATCCCTGTTTGCTACACTAAAGTCTGTGTTTAAGATCTTTATGATCACATTAGCAATAGCAGGCTTCATCCAGCAGGGAGGAGAAACCTTCTTCCTGCACTCATCCTTATGACTAAACATGTCAGAATGGTTTGTGAAGACTTTGCTCATTTCAACATTTCTCTTCTGCTAGGCTACCAGCGCCAGACTGCAGAGGAAACAAGGTTCTGCTGATCCACAACTGGCACCTTCTCTGCAGAAGGAGGAGAACTTGGCCAGTATGGCCAGAACCTCATCTCTGGTTCTGGGCTCTGAGCCGTCAAACTCCTTGCCCAGACCTTACTGCTGGGTAAGCAGCGCTAGCTTGGTTCAAGCTGCGGGTCTCTTTAACATGCAGCATCCACATATCGAACCTATCCTTCTGATTTATGTCTAATCATTGAGCAATTCAGGTGTGATGATGTGGTTCCAGTGTGACACCAGCAGAGGGCAGCAATTCAGTTCAGTTTATTTCTATAGGTTTATTTCATCTCAAGGCTTTTTATAGTTCACCAGATCATCCAGTCAGCAGTTTTCTATCTAAGGAAAACCAGTTGATTGCATCGACTCATCGACTCTTCAGCAATCCCTCACACTAAGCATGCTTGTAGTGACAGTGGAGAGGAAAAACTCCCTTTGAACAGACAGAAACCTCCAGCAGAACCAGGCTAAGTGTGAGCTGCCATCTGCTGAGCAGCCACTGACCTCTAGTCTACTGCAGTTCTTAGCCTCATTTAATTTAATTTACTTCAATTCAAAGAAACTTTATTAATCCCAGAGGGAAATCAAATGTTGCGATTACGCTCAGCTTATTTTTTTAAACAGTTGTTTTCTCTGGTAAGGCAACTGACACACTGTTGGCAGAGAGTGGGAAATGATTAAAGTCGTAGGGAAGTCCCCTTGATAATCGGCCAATCACATTCACTTTATTCACTCGGGTAAAGTCGGGAACCACTCGGGACAATTCAGAAATGAAAATACGACTTTAAAATAACTAGTTACTGCTTCAAATGTATTTGGCTGTTTTGTCTGTAGCTCATCAACAGCAGAACTGATTACATCACCTGCAGTGTCGGCAACAGCAGAAGGTGGAAAGTAAACGGTTACTAACGGAACACTGCTGAACTTTCTGGGCAAATAATATTGCCAAAAAACCACAGAGTTCAATATCTGGACTGTAATGATGAATCACACTAACATGTCCTGGATGACACCATCAGTTGCTTTGAATTTACCAGTCCTCTTTAAATCTCTGTTTGCTGGTATGGTCAGAAAGCTTGGCCGAGAGATGCTGGAGTCTGAGGTATGATCCTGCAGCCAGGTTTCAGTGAAACACCTAACACTGTATAACCGATAATCTGACTGGGTCCTTGCTAGGGCTTAGAGTTCTTCTAACCTGGTTGCTAAAGATCTCACATTGCCCATAAAGATCTTTAGATTTAGACAAACTTTATTATCCTCATGTATGCACGAAATTTTGATGCATACGTCTTGTCAACAGTGAGTGAGCAGCTTAGCAGTGAAATTAACATTTTCATTCATAGAGGGCGAAGGAAAACCAGTTTAAAGACATGGTGGCAGGTTCAGAGCCTATCCCTGGCACATCCAGCTGTATTTATGGAAGTATTATTTTAGTTTTAGAGATGATGATGAGCTGCTCTCGGCTTTTATTCAGACCTTGGTTTATGAATGAATTGATCTGAACTCTGCTGTCCAGGACCAGGGGAAGGCGGTGGAGGTCTCCTCTCCAGGACGGATGTCGGAGGTGGAGCAGCTGTTGGAGGAGATGTCACTGTGTCTATTTGACCTGCGAGGTTTCTGCAGCATCCTGGCTCACCAGGCCCAGGGCAAAGAGGCCAACCTGTCTCTTCTTCTAGGGATGAAATGTAACGTCCACAACATCTAACCCTGCTTTACTTCTTCTCTGCCACCAGTCAGATCTTGGATTCATGTCCTGTGGTCTAATGACCCCTTGTCTCTCTCCAGCTATCAGCGTCTCTGCAGACCAGCCGGAGCTTCAGGCTGCTGCAGCAGGAGAGGAGCTGAGCTCCAAGCTGCTTGAAGTCGGCCTTCTGAGGAGAGGCATCGATGAGCTAAGGAGAACCATGGCAGAACGCTGTCCCAATGTGGAGGAGAGCTGAGTGAACTCAGAGACGATCCTTTCTGCTCCGCACACCTCCCTCACTGCAGCAGAACTAGAAGCAGCTGTGGTACCTGCTCTGATGGGTCTATCAGCTGATGACCCGTAGAGTTTCCTCAGAACCAACAGAGACCATCCAACAGGTGGCAGCGGCTCCCGGGGACCACAGAGTTTACTGGAAGGATAAAACCAGCTACAAAGGCGTAGAAGCTCTTGGCTAACAGAGTGTCTGAAACGACTGACAGAAGTCACTGAGGCCGACTGTTCTGCTGCAGTCCAGCCTGAAACCCTGTAGAAAGTTACTGGGACCCCATCCCAGCAGACCAGTGCTTCTACTGGGATCAGGGTTGGTTTCAGCCTTCGGTTTAAATCTAAGCCTTCAGTATTCCTACTGTTGCCTGTGCTCCTAGCTTCAGTTCAGGTTCTCCTGTTCAGAGTAGGATGACTGAGCTGAGAAGTAAAACTCCTAGATGTGCTGACCTGTTTGAGTCTTTTACACACAGAAATAAATTAGTCTACATGATTAGTCCAACATCTAAAAACAGTTTAACAAGGACCTGAATACAGTCGCTTGGTTCTACTGTGTCTGATCGTGGAAGCCTGTGTGACCCTGACCCTCCATGCGCTTTAATCTGACCTGCAGGTACTTGCAGGGTGAATCAGGGACCTGATTTCTAGGCTTAGGAGAATTAGTGTGTCTTCCATATTTCTTCCTCTGTGGGTGTTAGAGAGCACGGGTCTGCAAATACTCCAGGTCAGGCACACAAGCTGATCAAACACAGCATTTCTCTGATGGTAGGAAACCATTCATTCTGTTCACAACTGTGTGTTGGTTTCTAGGAGGAATCAGGATCAGGGAGGTTGGAGTTCGAGGCTCAGTTTCACAAAGCAGGTTTACTGAAATCACAGTTTCCTCAACCTTTTTCTGTTACCATGGTAACATTCTCTCAGAGCTAACCGGCTCAGCAGCAGGTTTTCCTCCATGAACTCTGCCCTCTGTCTCTTCCTCCTCTTAAAGCCAATCCTGTTGTTTTATTTCCTGGTGAAATTAGGACTGGTGATTTCACCTAAATAGGTACATTGATCCACCAATTTAATTCAGCTCATTTATACAGCGCCAATTCACAACACATCATCTCTATGCACTTTACAGTTCAAACACCGTTCACCCAGTAAACTAGATTACACCATAATGTTATTCTGGTTACAACAGGCTATGACAGGGTGTTTGGAGATTTATTAGTTTGTCTGAATATGTATACTACTCAAAACATTTAAAGGAACACTTTGTAATCAGATTATAGCATCAAGTTAATCAAACTTCTGGGATATTGATTTTGTCAGTTAAGTAGCAGAAGGGGTTGTTTATCAGTTTCAGCTGCTTTGGTCTTAATGAAATTAACAGCAGGTGCACTAGAGGGGCAACAACAAGACGACCATTTACTACTTTGGTAACAAAGGTTACAACTTTGTGCAAGGAGGAGCAGGAGGAGCACTGCCAGAGCCCTACAAAATGACCTCCAGCAGGCCACTGGTGTGAATGACCAAACAATCAGAAACAGACTTCACGAGGGTGGCCTGAGGGCCCGACATCCTCTATTGGGCCCTGTGCTCACTGCCCGGCATTGTGGAACTCGATTGGCATTTGCAGCAGAATACCGGAATTGGCAAGTCGGCCACTGGCGCCCTGTGCTTTTCACAGATGAGAGCAGGTTCACCCTGAGCACATGGGACAGACGTGAAAGGGTCTGGAGAAGCCGTGGAGAACGTTATGCTGCCTGTATCATCGTTCAGCATGACCGGTTTGGTGGTGGGTCAGTGATGGTCTGGGGAGGCGTATCCATTGAGGGACGCACAGACCTATACAGGCTAGACAACGGCACCCTGACTGCCATTAGGTATCGGGATGAAATCCTTGCACCCATCGTCAGACCCTATGCTGGTGCAGTGGGTCCTGGGTTCCTCCTGGTGCACAACAATGGCCGGCCTCATGTGGCGAGAGTATGCAGGCAGTTCCTGGAGGATGAAGGAATTGATACCATTGATTGGGCCCCCCTCACGCTCGCCTGACCTAAATCCAATAGAACACCTCTGGGACATTATGTTTCCATCCATCCGACGCCACCAGGTTGCACCTCAGACTGTCCAGGAGCTCAGTGATGCCCTGGTCCAGATCTGGGAGGAGATACCCCAGGACGCCATCCGTCGTTTCATTAGGAGCGTGCCCTGATGTTGTCAGGCATGCATACACGCACATGGGGGCCTACAAATGACTGAATACCATTTTGAGTTGCTGCAATGAAATTTTAGCAAAAGGACTATCCTGCCGCATCACTTTTTCACTGTAATTTTTGGGGTGTCTTTGAATTCAGCCCTCTGTAGGTTGATCATTTTCATTTCCATCAAATGATGTGACATTCTAATCATATCAGTATAAATAAACAGCATGATCATTGAGATCTTGTTTTCAAAGTGTTCCTTTAATTTTTTTGAGCAGTGTATTTCTGATATCTGAAATACATTTTTTTTCCTTGTAAATAAAATGAGCTTTTTAAACTAAACGTCATTTTTCACATCTAGAATAAACATTCCGGGTCTCTAGAAACAAATATCAGACATCATAAATATGTAATTAGTCAATCATTTGTCAATCTAGTAAAAGTCAAAACAGCCACTAAAAATGTATAAACATTTCTAGGTATACCGTATAAACCTTAATTCTTACTTATACAAATATTTTTTTTTTACTTTTGAAAATTCAGTTTTTGCCCAGAAAATAATTTAGAAAATCTGTTATTACAGTTCTAACTAGGAATGTGATTTCAACCAGGATGAATCGTATTTTAGTGTATAATAAATGTTAAAACAGCCTGCCATAGGAACTACATTTAACTTAAGCATTAACTCGAGCAACAATCTTCTCCTTCACCATCTCCCTCTCCTGCTGTTTCTTTTAAACACACTTTCCAATATTTTATGTAATTCTGTATTAATATCTCTTGCTCCAGTGGGGTGAAATAGGCACTTCCTGTTGTCTGTTGTCATACTTATTGCGCACGTGTTCAACTCTGATTGGAAATAAAAAGAGTTGATTAAACTCACTGCAGCTTTTGTTAAACTGAGAACTCAGAGTTTCCGACCTTAGGCTAGATTAAGCCAGAGTTTAGGTCTGAGTTTGATAAACCTGCTAATTGAAACTGGCCTATTAAGCTAAGCTTCAACTATTGTATTGAAGGGTGACAATCGATAATCTTGTAAGCATGCATGCCAGCGGGGCTCTCCAATGCTCCAACAGTGTCATATCTACACCTGTGGCAGAGACTGGATTCAGTCCAGGTTCCTGTTGCTCCCTGATACTTCATCACTTATTAAGAACCACCAGGATCAACCCAAAGAACCTGGGATGCCCAAAAGTGTCCAACCTGTTTATCTCCTACTGCTGACAGCCATATAAATAACTAACAACTCTGCTGCAAAACTAACAAATCTTAAAACCAAAGAGCTAATAAAAATGTTATAAGCTACTATTTAACTTGTAATCCTAACGCATAGATATACTGAATCTATTTCTCTCCCTAACCGTCGTAGATCTTATTTTGATTAAAATGAATCTTATTTATAAAAGTTCCCATAAAGTCATTACTGCTCTAAACTGTTCATTTCATGATGAATGTCAGGTTTTCAGAAGTCTGGCGCACAGAAAAAAAAAAATGAAAAAGGGAAGATGACACTAAAGGCTTGAGGGACTTTTGGAGTAAATATTAAAAATAAACCGAGGAGCTTTATGAAAGATTTCCAGGTCATGAAAGAAACTGTGCACACAAACATTGTTATTGGAAATGAAAGAACCTGTGATGTATTTTCCCATCTCTACCTGCGACTGGCTGGACGAGAGCAGGCCTTCAGTAAAATGAAGATGATAATAAACTACCTGAGCTCTAGGATGTCCCAGAAAGGTTCAATGATCTGGCAATGCTGTCTATAGAGCATCAGCATGCCAAGAAATTAGACTTTAAAGACATCTTAATTGACTTTATCACTAAGGGGTACAGTTTTTAGGGTAAAGCAACGTTTAAATGTTTGCTGTTCTGCACATAATCCACAGATGATCCCAAAGGTCCAACGGTGCCGTTAAACATCCTGCTAATGGATTCTACCGGGTCTCCTTCTCATCCGTCTTCAAGCTTTTTTTCAGAGAGGAGTTTAAGTATCTTGGGATCTTGTTCACGAATGAGGGAAGAAGGGAGCGGGAGATCGGGAGATTGACCACTAATTTACAGTTTAAACTAAACACCCCTTTTAGTGGATTGACCTCCACCCATTGATAGCCGCCCAATCCAGTGACCTGTAATCAGACAAAACGGGGATTTCAGCAACTGCGTACTCCAAAGACCCGCTCTACCTGGACTGGGTCCTTGGGGGTAAACTTTGTTTAAGTCAGCAAGGAATAATCAATGGATCATTATTTATACCTAAAACTAATAATTTTGTGATCACTGAGTCTGGGAGCGGCCATATTTGCCCAAATATAGTAACCCCTCCCTCCTGCCATCTTCCAGCAGTGACGTCACGGTGCGGTAAGCCTAGCGCCATTCTCCCCGCTTTACAAGCTAAATCAATGGGAACTACTAGACACATCTGCAATCAACAACAATTATTGAAGATTTCCAGAGGACTTCACCATTGAAATTCACCAGAGCTATAGTGAAACTGACAATGCCCACGTGCATGGCAGCTGGATGCTGGAATACATCGGGTAAAATAGAAAAAAAAAGAGTTATTCCACCTTTCTGATTCCTGATCCTCCACGGACGGGTTGGTCGTTGGATCGCCAACTTGAAGAGGGAGGATTTGCCATCGAACTTCTGGCCAGAGAAAAAACCCGTAATATGTAGCCAACATTTGGAAGAAGAATGTTTTCAAGATGACTTGGATAATAGCGCGTTGTGACAAACACCAGATACAGCACTGGGACTTGATCAACAGCCGATACCGCACCGTGACGTCACTAACCAGTAGGTGGCAGTAGTGTTCTTTGACAAACATGGATGCCTCCAGTAAAGCACGTTCACATGAAAATTACTCTGAATTAAAAACACTGATCATTTATTGAACAGGATGGAATCATTTCAGATTTAAAGTACTTTCAGAAGTTTGAATTCTGAATATGAGCGAACTTCTCCTTTAAATGAAAGCAAACCAGTGAGACAAACTTTCCCTAAATGCTTGAAGAACAGCCTCATCCTTTTTAAAGAGTCAAAACAATAAAGTGACAAAATACTGTTAGGCTGTTAGAGTTCTGACAAATAAATTGTTTATTTTAGTCTAAACAAGCAGGCAGATAATAAAAAGACTGGCAGAATACAGAGCAGAGAAGGAGGTGGGATGCTTCCTTTGGGACGGGGTCCACAGACCCATAGAGGGGCCTCATGAGGGCCCGACGTCAGCAGAAAGACGGCCTTCTACGTCTACTACTAACAGGATGTGGATGTGAACACGTCTGTGAGCTGTGATACGGTGACACCCTGTCAGACGGACGCAGACAGACATTTAGGACAGACAGATGTTTAAGACAGATGGACGTTCAGGACAGACGGACGCTCGGGACAGATGGACATTTAGAACAGACAGATGTTCAAGACAGAAGGAGGTTTAGGACAGATCGACATTTAGGACAGACAGATGTTTAAGACAGACGAACATTTAGGACAGATGGACGCTGGAGAGAAAAGGACGTTTAGGACAGACGGACGCTCAGTGAGGTTGTCAGAGACTCTAATCTGCATCATGCTTCCTTTATGATTATTTACTTTAAAAAGTCAAGAAAAGCCAAGAAGGCAAGAAAAAAACTGCATCAAAGTTCAGTCAGCAGCCTGGAAGAGGCCCCGCCCCCCACTACCCCCCAGGATCCAGAAGAACACGCTGGCCTTCACCAGAGGAACTGAGCAGACCCCCATCCCCCCCTCAGATTGTCCCAGAATGGCTTCTGTTCTTGTCCAAAGCTCTACAGGTCCAGTGGGCCTTTATGAGGAGGAGCGGCTCTCTGGCGGCGCTGAAGCAGCTGCCTGTGGGTCCATCTGAGTCGCCATCCCAGGATTTCCATTCTCCGGACCGTTGCTCAGCGACATCTTTTCCAGATCTGAAGGACAGAAGGAAGATCTGTTAAGAACAGAGAATAGAGAGCTGGACATCGGATCCAGAAGAACCCAGAGAAAACCCTCCTCTTTCATAACAGCCCAGGAAACCGGCATTGTGGGTCCGTTTTAACCAACCCATCCACCTGCGACCCGCTGATGGAGGCTACAACCTAAAAGCTGACATGCTGACCTGCACCTTCTGTAAACGCACCCAACCCTTTCTTTATTTGTCATGTTTGTGTTCTAGAGCTTATTTCTGGGAGCGTTTCATAGAACTTGTTCATTTCTGATACAGTCAGCTTTAAGTATCGACCGGTACCAATACCGACCCAATATATCAGCATAAATCCTCACTACTTTCACCACTCATTTTCCAGAGTAAAATATCAGAACCAGTCTAATGGAGGGACATCACTCAAACAGAATGCTTTTACTATTAATTTCTATAAACAGAAGTGTTTCTATAAGCCAATTTACAGAAAGGCTTGTTTTTTCTGTCAGTTATCAGACCGATCAGGACAACATTCTATTAAAATGAAATAAATCCAGAGCCGCTGAGATCTAGAAAAGTTGAAGCAGCTTACTTAGCAACATTAAAAAGCTTTTTTCTAAAGATCCTCATTGAATAACTTCAATAATCATCTATATCATTCAGTTGTTTTATAACAAAGTGCTGTGAAAGCACAGAGACGTTCTGCTGCTGCTTCCTGAATGAAAAAGCTAACAGCGCTGACGGACAGATGCACCATGTCAGCTTTACTCTCATTCATAACGAGGGCTTTTCCCTGTTTGCTTCTTTTGAATAATGTCACTTCTCAGACTTGTTTATTTGGTTTCACTAAAGTTCCAAACTCCTGGTAGTTCACCTGGACTTTAGAGCCTTCCAGTGTTATTTTAGGGCTCTGAGGACAAAATGATCTTTATTAATGTAGCTTATGGTTCCTTATGTTCCAGACGGCCCATTCCTACTGGTCTGGTTCTTTTAGAACCGCGGTTCCGAACTCTGCTACCAATCGAGCTTAACAGAATCACAGCTTCCCAATTAAAAAACATCTGATCAGTGACAGCTGGATGGTAGCTCTCCTGAGCACTTTAACGTTATCCTCATGAGGATAATATATCCCCATAGCAACTAGGCCTTGGTCCACGGGGATACCAGTCCTTTGGTCCCCGTGGCCACCAGTCCTTCGGTCCCCGTGGCCACCAGTCCTTCGGTCCCCGTGGCCACCAGTCCTTCGGTCCCCGTGGCCACCAGTCCTTGGGTCCCCGGGGCGACCTGTCCTTGGGTCCTCGGGGCGACCTGTCCTTGGATCCTCGGGGCGACCTGTCCTTCGTACCTTATGGCGACCTGTCCTTCGTACCCCATGGCAACCGGTCCTTCATATCCCATGGCGACCTGTCCTTCTTACCCCATGGCGACCTGTCCTTGGTCTCCGGGGCGATCTGTCCTTCATACCTTATGGCGACCTGTCCTTCGTATCCCATGGCCACCAGTCCTTGGGTCCCCGGGGCGACCTGTCCTTGGGTCCCCGGGGCGACCTAACCTTGGTCTCCGGGGCGACCCGTCCTTCGTACCTTATGGCGACCTGTCCTTCGTACCCCATGGCAACCGGTCCTTCGTATCCCATGGCAACCGGTCCTTCGTATCCCATTGCAACCCGTCCTTCTTACCCCATGGCGACCTGTCCTTCGTACCCCTTTGTACCCCGTGACGACCTGTCCTTCGTACCCTTTTGTACCCCGTGATGACCTGTCATTCGTACCCCTTTGTACCCCGTGACAACCTGTCCTTCATACCCCTTTGTACCCCATGACGACCTATCTTTCGTACCCCTTTGTACTCCATGGCGACCTGTCCTTCGTACCCCTTTGTATCCCATGGCGACCTGTCCTTCCTACCCCTTTGTACCTCATGGTGACCTGTCCTTTGTACCTCATGGCGACCCGTCCTTCTTACCCCATGGCGACCTGTCTTTCGAATCTCATGGCGACCTGTCCTTTGTACCTCATGGCGACCTGTCCTTTGTACCCCATGACGACCTGTCCTTCGTACCCCTTTGTACCCTGTGACGACCTGTCCTTCGTACCCCTTTGTACCCCGTGACGACCTGTCCTTCGTACCCCTTTGTACCCCGTGACGACCTGTCTTTCGTACCCCTTTGTACTCCATGGCGACCTGTCCTTCGTACCCCTTTGTATCCCATGGCGACCTGTCCTTCCTACCCCTTTGTACCTCATGGTAACCTGTCCTTTGTAACCCATGGTGACCTGTCCTTTGTACCTCATGGCGACCCGTCCTTCTTACCCCATGGCGACCTGTCCTTCGAATCTCATGGCGACCTGTCCTTTGTACCTCATGGCGACCTGTCCTTTGTACCCCATGGCGACCTGTCCTTCGTACCCCTTTGTACCTCATGGCGAGCTGTCCTTTGTACCTCATGGTGACCTGTCCTTTGTACCTCATGGCGAGCTGTCCTTTGTACCTCATGGCGAGCTGTCCTTTGTACCTCATGGCGAGCTGTCCTTTGTACCTCATGGTGACCTGTCCTTTGTACCTCATGGCGACCTGTCCTTTGTACCCCATGGCGACCTGTCCTTCGTACCTCATGTCGACCTGTCCTTTGTACCTCATGTCGACCTGTCCTTCTTACCCCATGGCAACCTGTCCTTCGTACCCCTTTCTACCCCATGGCAACCTGTCCTTCGTACCACTTTGTACCTCATGGTGACCTGTCCTTTGTACCCTATGGCGACAGCGACCTGTCCTTTGTTTGTACCTCATGGTGACCTGTCCTTTGTACCCCATGGCGACCTGTCCTTTGTACCCCATGTCAAAATGGAGCATATCTCTGGGAAATTGTCCCCACAAATAAACACAAACATGGCAACATACATACTAGTCTTTGTCCTACCCTGAAGTGCTGCTGAGCACTTGTTAGTGGTCGATGTTGTGGCGCTGTCCTCAAGTTCGTCGAGATAAAGTCGGTACCGGTGGCCGCTGTCATCTTCATACTCCACGTTCTCGTCATCACTGTCCACCTCAGGGGCCACGTACACCACCTCGAACTCTATTTGTCCTCGCTGATATACAAAGGCAGCATGTTAGATAAAGGAGCTGCTCCAGCATGGAAGAGCTGATCCCAGAGATCGAGCAGATCCAGCCAACAGAATGGTTATGTTACCTGTTGAGAGAGGATGGTGACTGCCTCCTTGTGCTTGGCGTCTCGCAGATTGATGCTGTTGACAGCAAGGATAGCATCTCCCACATGAAGACCTCCACATCTGTCTGCAGGCTGGTTGGGATGGATCTCTGAGATCAGGATGGGAACGCCGTGCTCCTTCCCACCCTGAACACATAACACAAATTATTATGCGGTTAGAATGGGACTCTGTTAATTGCAATTAATACACTTCATATTTTGATCTATTCATGGTTCTAAAGCCCTGTGAAATTAATATAAACTTTACTGAATAGATTTCAATACTATAGATGAGCATTTCAAAATGAAAACCAGTTAGCCTGTATGACAGAGCCACCCACAGCGTTCTACACCAGTTAGCCTGTATGACAGAGCCACCCACAGCGTTCTACACCAGTTAGCCTGTATGACAGAGCCACCCACAGCGTTCTACACCAGTTAGCCTGTATGACAGAGCCACCCACAGCGTTCTACACCAGTTAGCCTGTATGACAGAGCCACACAGAGCTTTCTAAACCAGTTAGCCTGTATGACAGAGCCACCCACAGCGTTCTTAACCAGTTAGCCTGTATGACAGAGCGACCCACAGCGTTCTTAACCAGTTAGCCTGTATGACAGAGCCACCCACAGCGTCCTACACCAGTTAGCCTTTATGACAGAGCCACCCAGAGCGTTCTACAAAAGTTAGCCTGTATGACAGAGCCACACAGAGCTTTCTAAACCAGTTAGCCTGTATGACAGAGCGACCCACAGCGTTCTTAACCAGTTAGCCTGTATGACAGAGCCACCCACAGCGTCCTACACCAGTTAGCCTTTATGACAGAGCCACCCAGAGCGTTCTACAAAAGTTAGCCTGTATGACAGAGCCACACAGAGCTTTCTAAACCAGTTAGCCTTTATGACAGAGCCACCCAGAGCGTTCTACACCAGTTAGCCTATATGACAGAGCCACACAGAGCTTTCTAAACCAGTTAGCCTGTATGACAGAGCCACCCACAGCGTTCTTAACCAGTTAGCCTGTATGACAGAGCCACCCACAGCGTTCTTAACCAGTTAGCCTGTATGACAGAGCCACCCACAGCGTTCTACACCAATTAGCCTGTATGACAGAGCCACCCACAGCGTTCTTAACCAGTTAGCCTGTATGACAGAGCCACCCACAGCGTTCTTAACCAGTTAGCCTGTATGACAGAGCCACCCACAGCGTTCTTAACCAGTTAGCCTGTATGACAGAGCCACCCACAGCGTTCTACACCAGTTAGCCTTTATGACAGAGCCACCCACAGCGTTCTACAAAGGTTAGCCTGTATGACAGAGCCACCCACAGCGTTCTACACCAGTTAGCCTGTATGACAGAGCCACCCACAGCGTTCTACACCAGTTAGCCTGTATGACAGAGCCACCCACAGCGTTCTTAACCAGTTAGCCTGTATGACAGAGCGACCCACAGCGTTCTTAACCAGTTAGCCTGTATGACAGAGCCACCCACAGTGTTCTACACCAGTTAGCCTTTATATCAGAGCAACCCAGAGCGTTCTACACCAGTTAGCCTGTATGACAGAGCCACACGGAGCTTTCTAAACCAGTTAGCCTGTATGACAGAGCCACCCACAGCGTTCTTAACCAGTTAGCCTGTATGACAGAGCGACCCACAGCGTTCTTAACCAGTTAGCCTGTATGACAGAGCCACCCACAGCGTTCTTAACCAGTTAGCCTGTATGACAGAGCGACCCACAGCGTTCTTAACCAGTTAGCCTGTATGACAGAGCCACCCACAGCGTTCTACACCAGTTAGCCTTTATGACAGAGCCACCCAGAGCGTTCTACAAAAGTTAGCCTGTATGACAGAGCCACCCACAGCGTTCTACACCAGTTAGCCTGTATGACAGAGCCACCCACAGCATTCTACACCAGTTAGCCTGTATGACAGAGCCACCCAGAGTGTTCTAAACCAGTTAGCCTGTATGACAGAGCCACCCAGAGCATTCTACACCAGTTAGCCTGTATGACAGAGCCACCCACAACGTTCTTAACCAGTTAGCCTGTATGACAGAGCCACCCAGAGCGTTCTACACCAGTTAGCCTGTATGACAGAGCCACCCAGAGCGTTCTACACCAGTTAGCCTGTATGACAGAGCCACCCAGAGCATTCTACACCAGTTAGCCTGAATGACAGAGCCACACAGAGCTTTCTAAACCAGTTAGCCTGTATGACAGAGCCACCCACAGTGTTCTTAACCAGTTAGCCTGTATGACAGAGCGACCCACAGCGTTCTAAACCAGTTAGCCTGTATGACAGAGCCACCCACAGCGTTCTACACCAGTTAGCCTTTATATCAGAGCAACCCAGAGCGTTCTACAAAAGTTAGCCTGTATGACAGAGCCACCCACAGCGTTCTACACCAGTTAGCCTGTATGACAGAGCCCCCCACAGCATTCTACACCAGTTAGCCTGTATGACAGAGCCACCCACAGCGTTCTACACCAGTTAGCCTGTATGACAGAGCCCCCCACAGCATTCTACACCAGTTAGCCTGTATGACAGAGCCACCCACAGCGTTCTACACCAGTTAGCCTGTATGACAGAGCCACCCAGAGCGTTCTACACCAGTTAGCCTGTATGACAGAGCCACCCACAGCATTCTACACCAGTTAGCCTGTATGACAGAGCCACCCAGAGCGTTCTAAACCAGTTAGCCTGTATGACAGAGCCACCCAGAGCATTCTACACCAGTTAGCCTATATGACAGAGCCACACACAGCGTTCTTAACCAGTTAGCCTGTATGACAGAGCCACCCAGAGCATTCTACACCAGTTAGCCCGTATGACAGAGCCACCCAGAGCGTTCTAAACCAGTTAGCCTGTATGACAGAGCCACCCAGAGCGTTCTAAACCAGTTAGCCTATATGACAGAGCCACCCAGAGGGTTCTAAACCAGTTAGCCTGTATGACGGAGCCACCCAGAGCGTTCTAAACCAGTTAGCCTATATGACAGAGCCACCCAGAGGGTTCTAAACCAGTTAGCCTGTATGACGGAGCCACCCAGAGCGTTCTAAACCAGTTAGCCTGTATGACGGAGCCACCCAGAGCGTGCTAAACCAGTTAGCCTGTATGACAGAGCCACCCAGAGCATTCTAAACCAGTTAGCCTGTATGAAGCGCCACACAGAGCGTTCTAAACCAGTTAGCCTGTATGACAGAGCCACCCAGAGCGTTCTAAACCAGATAGCCTGTATGACAGAACCACTCAGAGCGTTCTAAACCAGTTAGCCTGTATGACAGAGCCACCCAGAGCGTTCTAAACCAGTTAGCCTGTATGACGGAGCCACCCAGAGCGTTCTAAACCAGTTAGCCTGTATCACGGAGCCACTCAGAGCGTTCTAAACCAGTTAGCCTGTATGACAGAGCCACCCAGAGCGTTCTAAACCAGTTAGCCTGTATCACGGAGCCACTCAGAGCGTTCTAAACCAGTTAGCCTGTATGACAGAGCCACCCAGAGCGTTCTAAACCAGTTAGCCTGTATGACAGAGCCACCCAGAGCGTTCTAAACCAGTTAGCCTGTATGACAGAGCCACCCAGAGCGTTCTAAACCAGTTAGCCTGTATGACAGAGCCACCCAGAGCGTTCTAAACCAGTTAGCCTGTATCACGGAGCCACTCAGAGCGTTCTAAACCAGTTAGCCTGTATGACAGAGCCACCCACAGTGTTCTACACCAGTTAACCTTTATGACAGAGCCACCCACAGCGTTCTACACCAGTTAACCTTTATGGCAGAGCCACCCAGAGCGTTCTACACCAGTTAGCCTGTATGACAGAGCCACCCACAGCGTTTTACACCAGTTAGCCTGTATGACAGAGCCACCCAGAGCGTTCTAAACCAGTTAGCCTGTATGACAGAGCCACCCAGAGCGTTCTAAACCAGTTAGCCTGTATGACGGAGCCACCCAGAGCGTTCTAAACCAGTTAGCCTGTATGACAGAGCCACCCAGAGCGTTCTAAACCAGTTAGCCTGTATCACGGAGCCACTCAGAGCGTTCTAAACCAGTTTGCCTGTATGACAGAGCCACCCAGAGCGTTCTAAACCAGTTAGCCTGTATGACAGAGCCACCCAGAGCGTTCTAAACCAGTTAGCCTGTATGACAGAGCCACCCAGAGCGTTCTAAACCAGTTAGCCTGTATCACAGAGCCACCCAGAGCGTTCTTAACCAGTTAGCCTGTATGACAGAGCCACCCAGAGCGTCTAAACCAGTTAGCCTGTATGACAGAGCCACCCAGAGCGTTCTAAACCAGTTTGCCTGTATGACAGAGCCACCCAGAGCGTTCTAAACCAGTTAGCCTGTATGACAGAGCCACCCAGAGCGTTCTAAACCAGTTAGCCTGTATGACAGAGCCACCCAGAGCGTTCTAAACCAGTTAGCCTGTATCACAGAGCCACCCAGAGCTTTCTTAACCAGTTAGCCTGTATGACAGAGCCACCCAGAGCGTTCTAAAACAGTTAGCCTGTATGACGGAGCCACCCAGAGCGTTCTAAACCAGTTAGCCTGTATAACAGAGCCACTCAGAGCGTTCTAAACCAGTTAGCCTATATGACGGAGCCACCCAGAGCGTTCTAAACCAGTTAGCCTGTATAACAGAGCCACTCAGAGCGTTCTAAACCAGTGCCTACAGCGTTCAATAACAGTTACTTTGTATGAAAGGCTCTGAGTTTGGATAAAGCTCTCAGGAGAACATGTAGGGAGGGATTCCTGGAGCTCCTTTTAACAACAGATTGATATTCAGTCATACAGAAGCCACTCAGAAATAGTGAGATATTCAAGTTCCAGTTACTGCCCACAGCTCAGATGTGGCTGCAGGGCCCAGGGTTCTGTTAGCACTCCTGATATTCATCCTGCTAACTCATTTCTTTCTGCAAAGACTTCCCAGGAGCTCTAAAGACCAGCATCCTGCTACTGGTGGTCCGGACTGCTTCCCGCTGGGCTCCCACACTAGAACTGCTCTTGTTCAAACTCCATCTTCCACCAGATGTGTGCTTCCAGTATGACTTTAATTGCATCTCCCTCTGAACAGGCCTACTGGGCATAAGAACCAGGTCCTCATGCTGCAGATCCTGGTTTCTAAGGTAAGGCTAAGTGTAGAACTATGGTAAGGTTATCCGCTCACAACAGGAAGACGAAGCACAACTTACAGTGATGGAGATCCCCAGGCCTTCATGATCCTCTTTGAGGAGCACCACCTTCCTGATGGGGCCCACCCCTTGGCTCTTCTTCAGAGAATCTGGCTCCTGGGATTTAAGAAGGTAAGTTTCAGTGACCCCACGGTCAGGAGGAACGGAGGACGTGCTGGCGTCTGTCAAACCTACATGTCCCACTGGGGAGGGCAGCGGCTTCTTTGGGTCACTGCGTCCTCGGCATGCCCGGATGACCGTTTTATGGCGGTGGAGGTGGATCTCTGCCTCCAGCTGATTCCACAGCTTATCATGGGCGGGTCCCTTCATATCTCGACCCAGTAACTGGATCTGCTGCACCCTGAAAAGGAGACCACATCATTCCCCACTTTATTGTCCACTAATTGGAGGCATAGCAAACCTGGAAAAAGGAAGATATCAACATCTACAGCTACAGCAGTGCTGGGCTCCATGGAGACGGACTAGTAACATTCGGATTATGGGTGACGATGGTCCACAGAACCAGCTTCAGAAATGAGCTGCCTTTGGTGGGCCGTCACAGCTACAAACACCTCAGAAGGAAGCGATGATGTTCAAGATTTCAGCTCTCCAGGAGAAAACCTGAAGCAGAACCCAGAGCCTCCTGTTAGGCCTTCTGGATCAGTACCAAGCACTCACCCTTACCTGCCAGCCAGCTCCTTGTCCAGGTATTTAGCAGCTAGTCTGGCGCCGTACACCTCAGCCTGCAGTACTGCAATGTGCCTGCGGAGGGCCTCATTTTCCTTCTTAAAGAGCCGCACCTCTGCCTCCAGTCTGGCCTCGGTCAGCTTCTCCTTCTTACTGGCCTCCAGTTCCTGTTCCTGTGACAGAGAAAGCCTGGTTAGACTGGGAGAAAGACGACCCAGTTTATATAGATGACCAGTTCTGATTTGCTGGTGAAGGTTCTCAGTCGTCCAGGTCATAGTTCTGGTTTATAGAGATGACCCGGTTACGGCTCGTAAAGACAACCCAGATCCGGTTCATAGAGATGACCTGCTTTATGATTTATAATGAGGACCGGGTCAGGTTTATAGAGTCGACGACGTGCCGGTTCCGTTTTAGAAAGATGACCCAGTTCTGGTTCTTAAAGACGACCCAGTTCCAGTTCATAAAGACAACACAGTTTATAAAGACTAGCTGGTTCTGATTTATAATGAGGACCCGGTTTATAGAGACGACCCAGATCTGGTTTATAAAAGATTATTGGAGCCAAACTCCAACCCTCCTGGTTTCTGTGTGTCTGATCTCCTCAAACCAAACAGCTGATGGAGCAGGAAGAGCCTCCATCAACCGGTTGACTAGGAAAAGATTTCAGAGATCAGTCCTCGTTCTCTGGGACCTGACAGACCCAGAGAACAGAACAGAACTTCCAGCCCAGCAGGTGGAAAAGCTTTAACTGGTCCTGGAGCATTTCAGGGTCAAATCAAAGCAACAACAACAAACAAAACTTACCATGTCTTCCAAAGTGGTAGCAAGCTTTGATGCAGAGGAAAGAGAAGGACAGAGAAGGTGGAGGTTAGAGGCTGCTCTGCTACGTTGGAGATGACAGATAGAGCAGAAGGTGGAGCTCAGAGTCTATCAGTTTCTTCACCAACAACCATTCAGGACTCTCATTTCCTGAATCTATCATCAATTCACTGCCATCAGCTTGGCTCTGAAGTCATGATGACTTTAATGGAAAGAAACCACTGATTGGCTGAATTTAGGCTGGTTCCACCTCGACTGGTAGTGTTAGCCTGCTGCTGTGGGATGGACCCGCCCACCCTACTGTGAGAGACGTGACAGAAAGCCAACCTTCTGGGTCACCTACCAGCCGCTCTTTGATGGTGTCAGAGTCCTCAGCCTGACCCTGCTTGGCACTCAGCTGGAGCTGCAGGGCGTGAAGCTGCAGGAGCAGGTCATGCACCTCCTTCTCCACCACCACCCGCTCAGATTTAGCTTCAGTCAACTCAGAGCGCAGGTCGACTAGCTGGGCCTGGATCAGAAAGTCGGAGGAGAAAGAAGAGAGTCAGAGCAGAGCTGTGACCCCTGACCCCTGACAAACCAAAACACAAACCCAATCAGGAGTTCAGAAATGTAAGGTAAACGGTTAATAGAGTTGGCATTACAACCAGGGGAATGGGATGGCAGCCAGCTGCTGATAGGATGAATTAGTACACCGTCACCTTCATTGTCAAACTGTTTTATTTTCAAAATAAATGCAATTAACCAGCATGAATTCTGATAAGATGTTAAATAAGTGTAAGCCTGAAGACTGATGATGGAAATGAAAACAATTTTAGTGATTATTTGGTCAGATACCTCTTTCCCATTTTAGTCTAGTTTGAGTTCTCCTTGGCTCCATCTTTTTAATACCACATCCAAAGTAGAGAGCTAACCTGAGCCTGTTATGCTGCTATAGGCTTAGACTGCTGGAGGACTTAGGGACCCTATTCCCTGCTTCATTCTATCTCTATTCTCCCACTCTGCAGAATCTGTTAGTTCAATCTCTAACGTTCTGCTCTCTCTGCTTTTTCTCATAGTAGCTTCATCTGGTCTGTTCCTGTTTGGCTGTGACTCCATCCTGGAGAGAAATATCAGCTGTGCTGCTGCCATCAACACCTTTGTTTATAGATGTTCGAGATTGCCCTGTTTTTCAATGTAGTCCTCTTTCTCTCACTGTGACTGACTAGATGTGCTCTCTTCATCCTCTGACATGGGAGCTGGCTCAGAGCTCATCTGCCTGGTTGTGTGTTTCCTGGACGCCGCCACCTGTGGAGCTGGTTTACAATAGCCTTTTTTTACTCTGCTTCTTACTGTATGTCTGCTTCTGTCTCTTTGAACCCCAGCCGGCCTCGACAAATGGCCGCTCACACAGAGTGTGATTGTGGTTGAGGTTCTTCCTGTTAAAAGGGAGTTTTCCTCTCCACTGTTGCAACAAGCATGCTTAGTGTGAGGGATTGCCTTTGAGTCAATGAGTCGATGCAATCAACTGGTTTTCCTTAGATAGAATCAGTCTGACTGGATGACATGATGAACTGTAAAATGCCTTGAGATGAAGTGATGTGAATTGGTGCTATAGAAATAAACTGAACTGATTTGAATTAAACCTAGACTGAAATATTTAATCCGTTTATAAATACACAGAATTGAATGGAGATTCTACTCAGAGTCCAACAAATTACTTTTATTTCCAACTTACTGGGTAAGACTGAAGCTTGGAGCCAAAAAAGACAAAAGGTTATAATCTTAGAAATGTACTTTTCTTCTGTCATTTTCCTCTTTCAGTAACACCAGCAGCAGCCCCATCAGCCTTTCTGTCCCTTACATTCATCTGAAAACCTCCGACCAGTACAGACAGCTCCTCCTCAGCAAACGGCATCATTAGGTGTTTGTGAACGGAGCTGCGGTGAGGAAGGAGCTGGGACAAGGAAGCAGGATGCTTCCTATGATACTTCAGTTAGCATAGGGACCTTCTGACATCCTCATCTGCCATGGATGATTTTCCCTCCTGCTTTGCAGGACATAGCCACAGGCTGATTTCTTTAATTCCTGCTTTCTTCCTCCCTCCCTCCCTCTTCCTGAATGCATACTTCCATCCATAATAAGGGTAAAGGGTTTAGACTTTAGACAGATTCTATATCTCGTTTAGTTTACACAAGTGTAAAACAAAAAGAAATTTCGTTTGGAAACAGCTCACTGGACAATTTCATGTTTTAAAAAGTGGAGCCTTGAAAAATAGTAAAAGTATTAATAAAAACAGAATAAAAAGGCAGTCACTCAGCACCTGGATATCTAGAGGATATCTAGATCCAGGTGCTGCAGAGTGCAGATCTATCTGATGATGGAAGGAGCTCCACTTTCACAGGCGGTTCCCAGCTGCATTCACTGCCTCAGTTGCCATAGTAACGGAGCCCCATGTCTGTACTGACTTGATATTTCAGATAATTCCTCTTGTTAACCCTTTCCTAATCCAGATTAAATCTGCTCCCACATTAACACAAAGACCTGTCAGATTTGATCTCCCCACTAATTTCTAATGCAAACGTTTGAAACAGAGACAGGAACCTGTTTGACCGGCTGTCATCTCCGCTAATCTGGGCCCCTAACAGCTAATCTGGGCCCCTAACAGCTAATCTGGGCCCCTAACAGCCTATCTGGGCCCCTAACAGCCTATCTGGGCCCCTAACAGCCTATCTGGGCCCCTAATAGCCTGTCTGGGCCCCTAACAGCCTGTCTGGGCCCCTAACAGCCTGTCTGGGCCCCTAACAGCCTGTCCGGACCCCTAACAGTCTGTCTGGACCCCTAACAGCCTATCTGGACCCCTAACAGCCTGTCTGGACCCCTAGGGAACAGGGCGGGGGGACTCACCTCCAGCCAATCTGGGCCCCTAACAGTTAATCTGGGCCCTTACAGCTAATCTGGGACCCTAACAGCCAACCTGGGCCCCTAGGGGCCGGAGCGGGTGGACTCCCCTCCAGCTAATCTGGGCCCCTAGGGATCGGGGCAGGGGGATTCACCTCCAGCCAATCTGAGCCCCTAACAGTTAATCGGGGCCACTAACAGCCAATCGGGGCCCCTAACATCCTATCTGGGCCCCTAACAGCCTATCGGGGCCCCTAACAGCCTATCGGGCCCCCTAACAGCCTATCGGGCCCCCTAACAGCCTATCTGGGCCCCTAACAGACTATCTGGGCCCCTAACAGTTAATCGGGGCCCCTAACAGCCTATCTGAGCCCCTAACAGTTAATCGGGGCCCCTAACAGCCTATCTGGGCCCCTAACAGACTATCTGGGCCCCTAACAGACTATCTGGGCCCCTAAGGGCCGGGGCGGGGGGACTCACCTCCAGCTTGTGGTTGAGCTGAAACACCGTCTGGCTTTTATGGCAGAGCTGAGCAAAGCAGGAGCTCAGGCTGGTCATCTTCTGCCTTCCTTCGTAGGTGATATCTACTTGATCCGGGTCTATTTCTCCCAGCAAAAGGTCCACGTCCACAAACGCCTTGTCGAACTCCTTCTCTAAGACCTCCAGCCATCGGAACATGGACATACCGGGACCGAGGCCCGAGCTGTGGGCCGCCGGGGAGCAGCCAGCGGAGGCGGACATGGTGGCAGGAAGTTAGGCCAGCAGCTAACTGTGGTTAGCGCTCTGATGGAGCCGAGAGGTGCTTGGAAGCCTTCAGGTGATCCAGCTACTCCTCACAGGGGATCACTGCTAGATTCCCAGACGCCTGACGGACTGTTTCCATCGGGAAGGAAGTAGGACGTAACCCGGAAGTCCTGGAACAGGCGATCGATTCGATCTGAGTCGATTACTTCAGACTTCAGACAATACAAACCTTTATTGAACAGCAACAAATAAACAACACAGGAATGTAAAACAGAGGCGCTGTAGACCTGTTTGAAGGGTTTAAAATGACTAAAAACTAAATGTAAATTTTTTCCTCTGTATTATGACTAAGATGTGGTCTTTTAACAGTGCTGTAAGTGTTATAGCGCTACATAGAGCAGCTTTGCTGGTTATAGACCTATTTGAAGAGTGAAAAAATAGATTTGAACTTTTTTTTTTCTAAACTAAGAGCTGTAGTATGATCGGTATGATCGCATTGCAGCTAGAAGGTTCTGGGTTCGATTCCCAGCCCGGGGTCTTTCTACAGGGAGTCTGCATGTTCTCCCAGAGCATGTATGGGTTCTCTCCGGGTACTCCAGCTTCCTCTCACAGTCCAAAAACATGACTGTTAGGTTAATTGGCTTCTCTAGATTCTCCCTGGGTGTGAGTGTGAATGGTTGTTTGTCCCGTTTGTCTCTGTGTTTCCCTGCGATGGACTGAAGACCTGTCCAGGGTGGACCCCGCCTCTCATCAAGAAACAGCTGGAGATAGACACCAGCACCCCTCACCATCCCACCAGGGTTAAGGCCCATTCATACCTCACGTAAAAGACGGATACGGATACGTGTGGAGTGTTTCATACGTTCTAACCGTCGATTTCGCCCGTACTTTGACACGAAAATTGGGAGCTTACGCTTACGGACGAAACGGATCAATACGGAGCAATACTACCGGAAACGGTGGGGGCGCTATTGAGTTTTTAGTACAAAATGTCAACAAAATCACAAAGAAGGTTAGAATGCAACAGAATCAGGTCTTGGACCATCGCCATGTTTTGATCAATGACGAATCATTGGCGCCCAGCACTGCCACCTAGAGGAAATACGGGTTATTGCGCACCTCAACGGACGGAGGTATGAAGGAGTCAACGGATAGAACGTACGGACAGAAATACGGACGTGCAGGCCAAACGTGAGGTATGTATAGGCCTATAGTGGTGAAGGAGATGGATGGATGGATGGATGGATGGGGTGTTTTAACTGTGGTGTAATTTTCATGGTTCTTTATTGCTATTTTAATACTTTTTTCATTGATATAAAATATTAGTTTAGGCATTATCGATTTATTGATATTTAATTGATGAGCAGCCAATTTATTTAAAAACCAACATTTCTCATGCGTCAAGAGGATCTTTTAAAGGTGAAGTCCATTCATATTCAGAATTCAACCTTCTGAAAGTATTTTAAATATGGAATGATTCCATCCTATTCAATACATGATCTGTGTTTTTAATTCAGATTAATTTTCATGTGAATGTGCTTTACTGGAGGCATCCATGTTTGTCAAAGAACACTACTGCCACCTACTGGTTAGTGACGTCACGGTGCGGTATCGGCTGTTGATCAAGTCCCAGTGCTGTATCTGGTGTTTGCCACAACGCGCTATTATCCAAGTCATCTTGAAAACATTCTTCTTCCAAATGTTGGCTACATATTACGGGTTTTTTCTCTGGCCAGAAGCTCGATGGCAAATCCTCCCTCTTCAAGTTGGCGATCCAACGACCAACCCGTCCGTGGAGGATCAGGAATCAGAAAGGTGGAATAACTCTTTATTTTCACTTTTCCCCGATGTATTCCAGCATCCAGCTGCCATGCACGTGGGCATTGTCAGTTTCACTATAGCTCTGGTGAATTTCAATGGTGAAGTCCTCTGGAAATCTTCAATAATTGTTGTTGATTGCAGATGTGTCTAGTAGTTCCCATTGATTTAGCTTGGAAAGCGGGGAGAATGGCGCTAGGCTTACCGCACCGTGATGTCACTGCTGGAAGATGGCAGGAGGGGTTACTATGTTTGGGCAAAAATGGCCGCACCCAGACTCAGTGATCGCGACAAAAAATATTCTTATTTTTTTACTGATTAAAGCTTAATTCATTAAATCACTGCAAACATATTAGTTTTAGATATAAATAATGATTAATTATTCCTCGCTGACCAGACTTTTCCTTTAAAAAAAGGGTTTAGCAAATTGTACTTGGGTTGTCCTCAGATGAAAGAAGGAAATTCTAGAAACCTCTTTGATCTGGGATTTAAATGACAGGTCCTGATCAAAAACAACACCAAGATTTTTTACTTTATTATCTGAAATCCGTTTAATCCCATCCAAATGAAGTGACTGACTAATCAGCTTCTTTTTCAGAGACTCTGGTCCAGAGACTATAACTTCTGTTTTGTCTGCATTCAGAAGCAGAAAGTTAAGAGTCATCCAGGTTTTTATGTCTTCAAGACATGCCTGTAATCTATGTAATGGGTTAGCTTCATCTGGATTTATAGACAGATATAGCTGGGTATCATCAGCATAACAGTGGAAATTAATATAAGTGGTGGGCATAGATACATTTTTTTCTATACAGATTTATCCACACATTTGTTTCTTATAGATACAACAGTTTAAAAACACTCTGGTAAAAGTTGAAGTATCAGCTGGACCTCTTTACTCAAATAAAAGTGAAAAAGTATGTGCTCCAAAAACTACTTAAAATATAAAGTATAAAATAACCTTTAAAAAAACAGCCAGATGCCACTGGATGACGACTATTTCTAAAACTTCTCTGAGATAGGGCCAAGGATGAGGGAGGTCTTGCTGGTCTCCATCTCCCGATACGCTCTCGCCTGTGTCCGACCTTTCAGACATTTCAACATCTTTTTCTGAATCCCACATTGTAGCATGGCATAGACAATTCACGTTTGCAGTTTGAAGAACACCTGCTTGCTTCTGATGATTTCCTTTAGCTAACCAATGAGTGTTTGCGTTATATGACTCATCCAATCACACTAGTTTCACTAGATGTGGATGGAGCCAATGATCTGCATTGGATGGAGCACATGACGGGAAATAAATATTTATAAACATTAAACCAGGGGTAACCAATTAACAATCAGCAGGGCCTGAATAAAGAAAACCAACCAGTAAAGGTCTGGAGACATTTTTAATGATCTGTTATTTAACACTGAAATAAAATGAGGTGTTTATGCGTCTATGTTGTACATTGAATTTTTAAATAATTAAAAAAATAGAAAAAGGTAATAGAATTTTTTTCCAAATTTTTCATTTAAAAATTTCCCGATTCCCATATTTTATAAAACACCTGAACTGAACTTTTTTCTCTTTCTTTTTCCTGTCTTAATGTTGGCAGTGGGCTTTAGGCTGCCCTGCAAGGCTTTAAACCTGGGTTTGAATGGAGACTAAGCCATTCTAAAGCACATACACTATATTGCCAAAAGTATTTGCTCACCCATCCAAATTATTGGAATCAGGTGTTCCAATCACTTCCATGGCCACAGGTGTATAAATTCAAGCACCTAGGCATGCAGACTGTTTTTACAAACATTTGTGAAAGAATGGGTCGCTCTCAGGAGCTCAGTGAATTCCAGCGTGGAACTGTGATAGGATGCCACCTGTGCAACAAATCCAGTCGTGAAATTTCCTCGCTCCTAAATATTCCACAGTCAACTGTCAGCTGTATTATAAGAAAATGGAAGTGTTTGGGAACGACAGCAACTCAGCCACGAAGTGGTAGGCCACGTAAACTGACGGAGCGGGGTCAGCGGATGCTGACGCGCATAGTGCGAAGAGGTCGCCAACTTTCTGCAGAGTCAATCACTACAGACCTCCAAACTTCATGTGGCCTTCAGATTAGCTCAAGAACAGTGCGCAGAGAGCTTCATGGAATGGGTTTCCATGGTCGAGCAGCTGCATCCAAGCCATACATCACCAAGTGCAATGCAAAGCGTCGGATGCGGTGGTGTAAAGCACGCCGCCACTGGACTCTAGAGCAGTGGAGACGCGTTCTCTGGAGTGACGAATCGCGCTTCTCCATCTGGCAATCTGATGGACGGGTCTGGGTTTGGCGGTTGCCAGGAGAACGGTACTTGTCTGACTGCATTGTGCCAAGTGTAAAGTTTGGTGGAGGGGGGATTATGGTGTGGGGTTGTTTTTCAGGAGCTGGGCTTGGCCCCTTAGTTCCAGTGAAAGGAACTCTGAATGCTTCAGCATACCAAGACATTTTGGACAATTCCATGCTCCCAACTTTGTGGGAACAGTTTGGAGCTGGCCCCTTCCTCTTCCAACATGACTGTGCACCAGTGCACAAAGCAAGGTCCATAAAGACATGGATGACAGAGTCTGGTGTGGATGAACTTGACTGGCCTGCACAGAGTCCTGACCTCAACCCGATAGAACACCTTTGGGATGAATTAGAGCGGAGACTGAGAGCCAGGCCTTCTCGTCCAACATCAGTGTGCGACCTCACAAATGCGCTTCTGGAAGAATGGTCAAAAATTCCCATAAACACACTCCTAAACCTTGTGGACAGCCTTCCCAGAAGAGTTGAAGCTGTTCTAGCTGCAAAGGGTGGACCGACGTCATATTGAACCCTATGGATTAGGAACGGGATGTCACTTAAGCTCATATGTGAGTCAAGGCAGGTGAGCAAATACTTTTGGCAATATAGTGTATCAAGGAGCTCATTTTGAGCCTGGATCCAGATTTATTGTTGATTCTGTTCATGGTGGAGAATCCTGCTTCACAGCAGCAGGTTGAGCCAAACATCCTCTAAATGTTCAGGCTCCGCTCAGGTCCGGTCAGGTCAAGATCTACTATTTCAATCGCACCAAACAGGAGACCCTGACCAGGAAGCTGATTTCTCATCTCCATCAGAAACCACACATATGCTGGATGCTGATGAGTTTTTTTTACATGTCATAATAAATTAAGCATTAATTTCTGAATGCTTTGCTCCTACATTTTTAATGATAATATTGCGCATGCTCTTCTCAAGCTCCAAGGATAAGTCAGAACGCAACAATACAGCAGGAACAGCGGAGGCTGTAGGGTTTGCTTTGCACAGGATGTCTGGAGCGCCGCAGGGCGGAGTGGAGACGGAGGATGAAGGATTTCAGTGGTAACAGG